TCTTGCATCATCGCCATTATTTTATTTTTTTCAACGCATGTATCCTTCTTTATACATTACTAATCCACAAGCCGGCATTATACTATACAGTAGGAAGACACGTGACCCGTCCCTCCAAAAAAACCGTGCAACCTACAAAATTTGGCAAACTGCCAATCAAAGCTGAATATTTCCTTTCATTTCCTCCAGGCAGAGTAAAACCTTGATAAATCAAATTGTATTAACAAATTCTGCTTTTCACGGGATAATAATTAACTGCAATATATACGAACCCGAGGTAACTCAGGATAATCAGGCAAGCGGTTAACCGCTAGCCATCATTGTAAATATGTGCAGTAGTGTCACAGCAGACAAAGGACATGTCTTCAGAGACAAATATTGTTTCCATCTCATAAATGTTGATTACTGCAGCAATGTTTGGAAGGCCACCGGGTGGATCTTCTTCCATTTTCAAGTGACACTCAGCCCCTTAATGTGGAATAATAGTTTGGTTGCTGTTAATGTTAACAGGAATTTCTCTAATGTGCATTACAAGTAATACTAACAAGATGCCCTATTATGATAATGTACTACAGCTCCAACTTCTGTTTTTAGGGCATCTCGAATGATCATTTTTAGCAACACAATGCCTGACCACAAACTGCTTGGTTCTTTTCTAATCCGTTGCAAGATGTGCAATTGTTCCATTGACCATATGATCCTTTTGCAATTTAGCATTTGTGGGATTAGTCATTGGTTCCTCCTTTCCTCCATGAAATGAAATTGAACTGGGAGAAAGTACATTAACAGTGGAGGGATATGGTCTGTAGACAAGATTTGACTATCATTGGTTTAATTTAATGATGTGTTCCATAATGTATTGCTTAAAATGGGACCTCAACATCTTATTGGTGCACTGTAAATCTTAGATATCATATTGTTATACATCTTTGAAAGTCATTTATTCATTAAGTCATGCTTGATTAACTATGTATACAGAATTTGATGTTTTCAGGCGTTTTTTTTCATGGTGTGTCCTTTTTTGTATTGTGCAGTGTATGAGTAGAATTTAGGGAAAACTAAGAAACTAAGTTATTTAATATTTTCTCAGAATTTTTGCTATTAATTATCTTAAATGTATTTTTTTTGTTATATTTTTTTTAAGTTTCATTATTTCCATGTTTTTCAATTCTTTGTCCTCTCATTGGAGGGGGTAGGAGATCAGTTTGAGCATCATAAGCACTCTTGTATAACATAATTCTCATAAGCACATAAGTATTCATTACATTAAACACCAATTTTGTACTTTTCTTTTCAAGCAGCGGAGAGAGCGACGTTTAGCAAACTGCTGTGTAACATTTTATCTTTTCCAGGGTTTGTATGGTCCTTAAGAGTCCTTCAAAGTCCTTAGATTTTTTTGGAATTGACTTTTGGTCCTCAAAAGTCTTTAATTTTGGCCAAAATCAGCAGATGGTCCTTAATTTTAATCATCTGAAATTTCTGTCTGTTTTTATGACTGCCATTTTGAGTGTGAGTTAGCATTTTGGAGGAATATTTTTGGCGATTCACTGACGTAATATGGTTATCTCTTGAATGAGTTCATGAGTTATAATTTGTTTCTATTTCTAATATAACTGATGGGATACTCGAGTTTCTAAGCAAGAAGTGAAACATAAGCATTTTGAAATTCATTTTTTCTAGAGCTCTTGAAGAACTTTTCGCTTTTGAGAACATGAATTCTTTTATTAAGCAGTTGCAAATTTGGGGACTTTTCAACATTTTGGCGATTTTAAGATTTGGACATTTTTATTTTTCGCTGTCATATTATAAAGTTTCCTTTTGGCAACTTATTGTACAATATTGTGAATCTGAAAAATATACAAGGTATAATGCTATAAAGCACAATTTATGAAACAGCTCTTAGCAAAAGCAAAATTAGCTATGTAATTGATTAAAAATGTCTTCTTTTTAGTTTTTTCATAGTAAGAGCTTTTCCCATGTAATTGTCTCAGAATATTCAAAATTCTCAGAATATGCATCAGTTTTCTCTATAAAATTAATTTTATACTTTTTCTCTCCTTTTATTTTTCCAAAATATATCTGCTTTTTTGCTGTTACAGAATTGGTAGGGATAATTTTTCTATAGGATTTTAGACATTGCAGCTTGGAAAGTTTAGAAGGATTTGAAGGCAAGATTTATAGACCTATGATTCTAGATGATTCGAGAAATATGTGACAAAATGAAAAATGTCTGCATGGTATCAATACGGAGTGGATGTATTTTGCAGAAATTTTGCAATGAATTTATTTTTTGGAGAATGTCTGGAAGAACAATGAAAACATAATATTTGAATGTTTTACTTCTGATACTAGAAACTTAACATGTTTTATTTTCTCTAGACACAAGCATGGAAAACATTAAAAATACTTTTAATCTTATAACATGTGCAGGCATTATAGAAAGAGATTTTTTTTATTTATAAAAAAATTGAAAACTTACAATTTAAAAGATTCATCTAATATGTCTTTAATGCTTGATACACGTAACTGGCACTAGGCATTTTCCCACCTGATGCAATTTCTGTGGATCCTAAATTCTGCTGACTAGTTGCCTTTCTAAATTCTGCTTTCAATACCTGCTCTAAATTCTAAAAGTCTTGCTATTTCTAGATTTTGTTGTTCAGTGTCTCACTAAATTCTAAAAATTCTGCCACATCAGCTCTGTAACCCGCCTTTACCATATATATTTCATATTTCTTCTGAATGTTCATATTACTAAAATAAAATTAGCCGCTTTTTCTGAACAATATAAATGCATTTATTGTTTTTTAGAATAGCAGAAATTCTTAATTAAATACAAAAATTCTAAAATGAAAAGGAAATGTGTTGAAGAAAGAAACTGAATACATAAAGAAAATTATTCTTCAAAGATATGTGCAGTTATTATATAAATTACCAATTGTTTATGATTTCAGCCTTTACTATAATTTCCCATTTCTGTTTCCTCACATGATAGAGTTACTGCGCCAAATTAAATTAAAATCTTTGACCGCTAGTCCACATTTTTAGATTGAATTTGACTGTTCTTGTTTAATTACGTCACCGTGAGCTGTAATTGATTTTGTTAGCATCAGAACATGCCTTTATGTTCTAAGTTCTTTTTAAATAAGATGGTTATTTAAACCTTTGTCTGATATTGTAGTTACTTTCAGACATAGCAATGATATGCTTCATGTCTGTAAGGGGTTTGGGACTATATAACTTCTACTAGATCAAGTAAACCCTCATAGGTATATCGTGGAGGGGTTGACAAGTTAGAAGATAAAGCATGCTGAAACTAGTGAGAGCATTGGTTTGCATATTGAGACAAATCTCTAGTTGTTAGAAAAGATGCTTAAAGAGAAGGAAATCGATATAAATTAGCCAAAAAGTCTGGGAAGGGTTCCAATTAAAATGACGGATAAATATTGTGTTGCGTATTGTTGTTACAAAACATGAATGTTTGTAACAGTAGTAGTTTGTTTTGTTTGTAGTTTTTAGTGTGTAAATATTATTTAAAAATCAGTGTCATAAATTACATGTATTTTAAACTGTGAAATTTTATTAGATTTTGATTTTAATAGGGCTTTTTTAACAAATATTGTTAAAAAATAAAATTTAATTGTGGTCATGTAAAGTCATAATGACTAAGTTTATCCAACTAAAAACGTCAAATTACATGTTAAAAAACCTAATTTAATTATTTATAACTAACTGCATACCCTTAAAAATTATCTCTACATATTAAAGCAAATTATTGCTTTTCAATAATACTCACTGTGGTCACAAGATATAATACAAAAATTCAAGTAAAACTTATCCTTTGCATCTACTGAGACTTAAAATAATACAAAACAACTTATCACCTCTGGTGCTTTAATTCCTTATTGGAATCTTAAAGTATATTAACTGAGTTGCAACCCCTCGAACTGTACACGAAGCTACGACACTAACTGCATCAAACAGAGCCTGACTAACTTTACCCACTTGCCGAACCATGCCTACATCAGGCCTTTCAGATTTGTTCTAATCAGGAGGTCTCTCTCTAGACAAGTGGCGGCAGTGTCAACATTCAGTGTTTTGTTAGGAATCATGCTGATTATGATCTTACTTCTCATTTTAACCCATGCCGTTTGACATAAAATCTACTTGCTACTAAACCTCTAGACTGACCAAGTATGTGAAAAAATGAGACATAAAGCTAACTGTTAGTAAAACTTAAATGCCACTTATCTTCTTTCAAATATGACCAACTATTATAAGTGTAAAATATTTAATGCTACTTGATGAATTGCATAAAGTTTATTTTATTCTCAAACTTATTAATAATTATATTCATTAATTCATGTTTAGTAATAATGAATACGACTTAGGAATCTATTTTATTTTTAGAATGGTGTTACAAAAGTGAAATTCAGAAATAGCTAATATTTTTAATTGAATTTATTCAGTTCCCGTTTGCTCATAGGTCCTTAATTTTTTTCATTAACCTTTTGAAGACGGGATGGCCATTATAATGGCCATAGAGTCCTGTCTTTGAAAAGACGGGGTTGTCCACTTTAGTGGCCATGTCTTTCCCCCCCCCCCATTTTCCAGGCTGAAAAGCAGGGTGAAATGTCGAATTTGACGTCTCTAGGGTTTCAACCACTTATCTCTTTCAAAGGTCTTCCTTTTGCGACATAGATGCACCCCTCTGAGAATCCATTAAACTACACACAAGAATCTTTGTTGCAAATAGGAGGTGATTTCTTAAAGAGGGAAAAGCATTTGGTTCAAGATTTCCCGTCCTTTGGTAGCTTTTACTGCTATCAAAGCCCCAGCCTCAAAAGGTTACTGGTCCTTAAAAGTACTTAATTTCTGTGTGCAGAAATGTGTACGAACCCCGTTTTCTTTTTTAACTAGCTACTGATATAAAATATGCTGTGCTACTGATATTCTAATCAACTAAATTTCTTATTGGTATACCTTACGTTTTATTTCAGTATCAAGGAGCTTGTATTGTGGAAATAGAATGCAATCTTAAATTTGCAAGAGCTCTAGCAATGCAAGAGGTATGATTGTTAGTTTTATAGTTTATGCCTTTAAGCTTATCTTTCCTTTGTGAAATGATACACATTTCTATTAATACCACTTTTGATAATTCTGTTAGAAGAAAAGTGGTTTCTAGCCTAGTGTGAAAAGTAAATATAAGGTATTTGAGAAAGATTGGTACATTCTGTATATCTTTAATACATCGAAAGCCACATCACCCAAATATAGGTAAGTTACTTTGGGATATATTGTTGGAGATAGTTTTACCTTGTTAAGTCAGGATGTTTAAGAACAAATTTAACCTTCCAGCATGCGCACGCCGTATTTTTTACGACATCCGTTATTTTAACCATTTTTGGCATGAAAAATGACAGAAATGAGTGAATTTTTAAGTTAGTTTTTATGTTAGTGAGATGGAAATGCAATGATGTATTTCATTATAGAAAATTTTAAATTTATTATTTGATAATTATATTTTAAAATCGAAGCTAATTTTAATATTCACCAAAGACAAGTGTAGACAATAAAAAAGGAAAACACCTTGATAAGAAAAAAAGTAAGCTTAGCATTACTTACTTCTGCAAGGAAATTTACTTCTTACTGGTTACAAAAACGCACTTTAAACTAACTTTAATGTTTTTATTTATTTCTAAAAAAATAGAAATAAAAAAAAAATAAGAAATGGAAATCGTTATTGTTCTCCCATCCAAAGGTTTCCTTTTCTCCATCAGATAATTCTTGAAGAATCTGAGCAAAATCAGCTGGTTGCACATATTTTTTTTCCATGAAAACCGATATAAAATTTACAGAGCCAAATGTATTCAAATTAAAATAATACACAGCAATTAATAACACAAAATTACAAAATATTTGAGAAAAAATATTTTCCAAATTTTAAAGCACAACCACGCGTGTGTCGTAAATTTTATGAAAAAGCTGCCATGTAGCACAAAAGCCCAGATAAAAAAAGTCAAATGACTTCCTGTTGGCACATTCCATGACGTGGGGAAGGGTAAAGGAGGAATAGAAATGACCTTCAGACGTCTCAGCTTCGATGTGTGAAAAATGTGCATTAAAAACTGATTTTGTCGTAAATTTTGCGCATATGCATGTGCTGGAAGGTTAAGGAAAATTGTTTGTTTTGATTACATATAAATTTAATCTTGTGCAAAACAGCTTATGTCAGTAAACTCTTACCTGGCCCCTTTATTTTTTGGTGAAAGCTTTTAAGTATATCTACGAGGGCTATCCAGAAAGTAGATTACGTTTTGGAATAAAAAAAATAAACAAAGTATAGGAAACAAATTTTATTATATACAGATGAAAGCCACACTCAAATACTACTTTTCTACATAGTCACCATACAAATTAAGGCATTTATCGTAGCGATGTACGAGCTTGGAAATTCCTTCGTCGAAAAATTCGGCCGCCTGCGCCTTCAACCACTTCGTTACCTCTTCTTGCAGCTGTGCGTCGTCATCAAAACGCTGCATAGCCAGCCACTTCTTCATTGCTGGGAATAGGTGGAAGTCGCTCGGTGCCAGGTCGGGACTGCACGGCGGATGAGGAAACAACTCCCACTTAAAAGATTCAAGAACTTTACGAGTGACATTTGCCGTGTGGGGCCGGGCGTTGTCGTGAATCAACAAGATCTGAGAGCTCAACATTCCTCTGCGCTTGTTTTGAATTGCTCTTCTGAGTTTTTGGAGAGTTTGGCAATACCTTTGAGAGTTTATTGTAGTGCCTCTTTCCAGGAAGTCCACCAAAATTACACCTTTTCTGTCCCAAAAAAAACAGTCGCCATCATCTTCCTTGCCGACATTGTTTGCATGCATTTCTTGGGTTTTTGGGGAGACCTTGTGTGCCCCCACTGCATTGATTGCAATTTCGTTTCACAGTTCACATGTTTCACCCATGTTTCGTCACCAGTAACGATGCGATCGAGTAAATAGTCACCATCCTTATGGTAAGCGTCCAAAAAGTTCAACGCTGCAGCCATTCGCTGATTTTTGTGGTCCTCTGTCAAGATTTTTGGAATCCATCTTGCACAAAACTTGTGGTAACCAAGCTTTTCGCTGATGATTTCGTGCAACAAACTTCGCGAAATTTGTGGAAAACTCAAAGAAAGTTCCGTTATTGTGAAATTTCGATTTTCACGGACTTTAGCATCGACTTTTTCGAGAAGTTCGGCGGGCACTATGCTGGGTCTCCCACTTCGATCTTCGTCGTGAACATTGGTTCGGCCATTTTGAAATCTTATGACCCACTGACGCACTCCACCTTCAGTGATAATGTTGTCCCCATACACTTCACGAAGCTGCCGATAGATTTCTATCGGTTTACAGTTTTTTGCAGTCAGAAACCTTATTACTGAGCGCACCTCGCAGCTCGCGGGATTTTCAATTAACGCAGACATTTCAAACCGTCACAGTATCTGAACGGAGCACAGCACAAACCTCTCACTAGCACGGCTAGATGCAGACTGAGCTGCGCAACGCTCTGACCCCAAGATGGCCGCGCTAGCCCCGCCCCTAGCAGACACAGACGGAAACGTAATCTACTTCCTGGATGGCCCTCGTATATAAAGGAAAGATATGTCTGAAAATTCATCTAAATTACCATCACAAGATTCCATTTCTTCTAAATGAGAATCAGAATTGCTGCTACCAGTCAGAGTTATTCATTCATCCATTAACTCTTCCAGGAGTCAATATCTGTCCCAATAACAATTTTCATAATTTTCTACATTTCCACAGTGCACTTACTATTCTTGAGAAGTGATTACATCTATTGCTTTGTTTAGTAAACTTTTAACTTTTTAAGTCACCAGTTACATTTCTTTCCCTAATCAGTCTTTTAACTGATGACCAAGCATATTCTTTTGTGTTTAGATTGTAGTGGTAAGGGGGGCTGCATAACATGATGTCCATCTTCTTTTACACTGGTCATCAAAGTTAATGAATAATGAGAAAAATTATTCACTTAGTTAATGTTGCAACCAATGCCTAATGATATAATTATTTATGTTAATTATATACAATTGAACTCAAAATTGCACTTCCGTGCATACGTTAGGGCTGGGAATATGCAAATTTGGTGATTTACAATGTAGTAGGCGTAAAAATATATTTCGGGGTACCCCTTGGCGAATTTTTGGTGTTATCGAATCTTTGATGTTATGTCCGTTTCCAGGAAATATCGACATACCTTCTTTAAAATGTTTTGTCTCTTCGAAACGAGACATACAGAATTGCTTAACAGCATCCAAAAACTATTTAAAATTATCTAAACTGGAATCTGTATACTGCTGTCGTCACATAAATTCACTAAAGTAAAAATGAAAAATATCCGTACTGCCGGTCAAATTCAATGGAATCATGCAACCAATCACATCACGGTTTCCATAACATTTGTCTACTCAGATTACCATAAATGAAACAACAACTGGGCAGTAATCCAAGGGTACCCTAAAGTATAGACTAACTGTGGGACGTGATGGACGCATGTTGGAATTAGTGGTGTTTAAAATGAATGTAGTTTCTGAGAGTGATTAGTATTTTGTAATTATGGCTCAAAGGCTTCATTTAAGTGAAGGTCAAAAGTGGCAAATAATTGGTAGGATTGAGGGAGGTCAGTGAGGTTGTGCAGGGTTTAAATATCAGTATTTTAACTGATGATTTAATTGATATCCATCAAAGTGCCATATTCAGAGTTTGGACCGCTTTTTAAGCACTGAATCAGTTGATACTGATCAAGGGCGAAGCCATTGTACTGCTGTACGAAGGGTAAATGAGGTTCGACTGTATGCAAGAAAGCCAGTTGTTTGTGTTCCATTCACTCCGGTTTCCAGAGGGGGCTGTCACTATGTTCAATGGAGCCAAGACAACTGGGCCCAAGTATTCTTATGATTCTAGATATAGTCCTGAACAGTAATTCTAGACATGTTTTGATTTGGAGAGAGGAAGGAACACATAACTTGTCCATGAAATATCCCATTTCTTCTACTGGGATATCCTTGTCCATGAAGTGTCCTGTTTCTTTAACAGGGGAGGAATCATGAAAAATGGCCACACCGAGCTGTATATCTTTCAAGAAGGTTCTGTAACCTCTTGGAGATATGTGAATGAGGTATTGGAATTGCAAGTTAGCCCGTTTAGGGGTGCTATTTGCGCAGATTTTTTGCTACTGGATACCGAGCATTGCTGTGTGAGAATACTTGCAAAGAGAAAGTATCGCACAAATGGATTGGCCATCTTACTCACCCGATTTGAACCTGGTTGAATAGGTATGGGGTGCCTAAGTGTGCCATATTTACACACACCAAAGTCCTTCCCAGACCCTCTAAGACCTGAAACGTGCACTTTTAAAAAGTGGCATGCAATTGCACGAGACTTGATCAACACTTTGATAATGTCTATGAAATCAAGATGTGAGGTTTGCATATCTGTCCAAGGTGACAATACACCATATTAAAGAAAATTTTTTTTCTCAAGAGGTGACTTAATTTTCCCATCATTTTCCAGTTTTCATAAATTTGTTTTCAATATTTAATATTTTGCGAATAATCAACTGCCAAACATTGTAATTTATGTTAATTAGTGCTTTTGTACAAATTTCTAGTAATAATTTTTCATTAAGTATCGGTTACGCTTTATTTCTGTTACTATCCTTTAATTTTGATGACCGATGTATAATGTCAATTTTATAGATACTTTTTTTAGGACAATTGTGCTATATTAAGTCAAATAATGCACTTTTTCCATTTTGGAGTTGCAGCATCTTCCCCTCCTTACCAGCTACTTTATCATAATTTCCTTTGTAGCATATTTCATAGATTTCAGATCTTCAACTGTATAGTTGTATGACAAAATTATAGGTAATTTATCGATTTCGCAGTTTCAATCAGCGGGCCTTTTATATTTACTTACGAAGTATGCTTAGAAGTTTCCCTTCACCCATTATTAATACGGTACAAAGTCCGTAATCCGGATTCGCTGGGACTTCGCCGATTCCGGATTAGGGTTTTTTCAGGATTATAGATCATCAATTTAAATCTCGTAAGATGGCATGCAGAAATTATACTATTAAAAATGTGAAACTGTAATTTATGAAATAAAAAGCAATTATGATCTAAAGGGTATCAAATTTTACCAAAAAAAAAAGAGCTTAATATTTGTTTACTTCATTAAACATTTCTTTCAACGCTTGCATGTATGAAGCAGATGCGCGTAGTGTATGTGCATTCTCTACGTGTATGCGTAAAGTTTGTGGCTTTGAGGTCCGGATTATAGATCATTCCGGATAATGGACGTCCAGATTACGGACTTTGTACTGTACTTCATTCCTATTTTTTTTACTTGTGTACTGAGATGCTGTTATCGCCTTGAGATATTCACTTTATAGCTTGAGGTAGGGGAGCTACTAAAGAGTTTGCCAGAGCTTTAGAAGTGCAAAATTTTGCAACATCGTACATGATTTGACATGCCTTTGATTTTAAAGGTTGACTTTTTTTAAACTGGAAGGGCAAAAATAATTAAAAGTAATATAAAGCTGTATGGAAAAGACGCCTGTTTCTGAGATGAAATCGAGAAGACAAATGGTAAAATTCCTCACAGCTGACATTTGCCAAAACAATAAAAACTTCATTTGGCTCAATCCTGCTTGAAATATACTGCCCAGTTTCTATAATGGCTGTCGTCAACTACTGGTGAGAGCTCTTCTGGTAGACAGATAGTATCTAACTAACTGATAAGTTTTTGCCCCTGGTTGGATTTCCAAGAAAGAACACTGGGATCATCCAAATGTCTCCCACCCCTCTTTAGTGAAAACAGTTTGGAAAACTATTCAAAGTAGTTGGGAATATTTGATTTTATAAATTATCAGTAAATGTTACAACTGAATTAAGCGGTTGTTATCAATGGGTTATATTTATTGTGAATTTTCTGCAGTTCCTGATTATTTAAATGTATGCATTCCTGAATATTGTCTCATATACTCTGTTCGACATAATAATTATTTCTTTCTAAAAACATAGTCTTTTTTCAGAAGTACTTGGAAGCTGCAGAGTGTTTGAAAAATGTGGTTTTTACAGCTTTACCTCAAACAGATGAAGAAAAGGTAACTGTTAGTTTTAGAGTCAGATAAAGTCACTATTTTGATTTATACATTATTTTGATCATTTATTTTTTTGTCAATAACAAGTCCAGAGTGGAAAATTTTGTACCAGCTGCTTAAAATACTATATTGTTATGTATTATAAGTATGTAAGGAGAAGAAAAAATTTAAATTGTTAAACTTATCATTTATTTTATGTAGTTTTATGTGCATGTCGGAGTAAATAAACAAGGGCATGTCAGGTTTTAAATTTAAGTTAAAAAAAACAGGTTATTTTTTAAAGCCATCTTGACCAAAAAACACAGTTTTTCTCGTTGAAAATTCATTTCTTATTAAGATTTTTTTTAAAAAGATAATGCAAGGTAAGTATGTACATATTTGTTATTCATCTTCAGTAAAAGTATTCTGAAGATTGCCTTACATTTTTCTGTCTTCTGAAAGATGCAAAATAGTTTGAATTACTTTTCAAATGCCATTTAGTTTTTTTTTTTTTTTTTTAAATTTATATTGTTACTGCTTTTGTATGAACTTTTCTGGCTGAAATATATATTTTGGTAATGCATTTGTATAGTCATATGTAATTACTTCATCGTTATGGTAAACAAATTATGTGGAAATGGCATTACATTGGAACAAACTCAAGTTCCTTGTCAGTTTCTAATAACTTTAACAGTGCTAGTTTTTTTGTAAGCAGAAAGGTTGTATGCAGAAATAATTCCTTGGTTTTGGACTTCATAAACTGTGTAGAGGCTATTAAATTGATCTGTGTTTTTATTGTAATGGTTTGAAATAAACATTTTCTCATGTTGTTTGAAGAAATATTTGAAAATGCTGAGTGCTGAGTTAGTAGGTAAGAAATTGTAACCTAATTGAATATTGTGAAATTGTATTTTTAATGCTGCATAGAACAGTATGATTTAAACACAGTAATATGGTTTCAGTTCTGTACATGTAATCTTTTTGATTTGAGGTATATGATTTTATGTGGATTTCATGTAATATTTAAAAAAGCAAAATGTTAAGTTTTAGTTGAATTAAACATTAATTTAGTAGAATTATTATTTAAAACCGAAGCAATATGTAAATTTTATAAAGTAGATTTGTATAAAAATAAATAATACAAATAATACCTCATTTTTGTATATGACTTTTTGTCAAAATCAAAATCGTAAAAACAACCTTGTATTTAGCGTAAGTAAAATAACGCTAAATACAAGGTTGTTTTTACGATTTTGATTGTCACATTAGCGTGTTTCTCTTCTAGTCTACTTTTTGGCAAAAATTTAATGTGATTTAGTAGCTGGAGAAGGCTTGGGCCTTTGCAAGTCAGAGCTACTGTGTGAAAGAAACATTCAATAAGTAAATGAATTAATAGCTAACAAAATACTTAAAAATAAACTTACTTGAAAATAAAGAAATATTGCTTAATTATTTTTGGAGAAAAACTTACAACAGCACTATTTTGGATTTATAATCCATTGAATGCCTTCCCAGTGACCATCTGTGAAAGTGATCAGTATTTCTGAGAATGTAAATAGTATACAGTATTCATGTATCAGTGTATGCAAATAATATTTATAATTTTATTCTTTTCTGATGATCAGTCAAAAACCTGTCCCAAACCATCAGCTGCATTTATTATCAACCACTCTAAAACATTTACGAAGGTGTACAAATCAACAGGTGCATCTTTAGCAGAAAAACTGATTTTATGGAAAAAGTTTTTATATATCTAAATTTGGTTCTTATCTCAGACTGGTAATTTTTATGTCAACTTGGTTCTAAGACAGCATTCTTATAAAATCCCCAGATTGCGAGAGAAACGTGCCAATGTAAACTTCAGGCAAAACAGCAGCCTTATTTTAGTGTAGATTTTAATTTAAAACCCTACCAATTTCTTCCTCTCTGTGCATTGGTCAAAGTATAATGAATAAATGTTTAAACAGCTCCAAAGCAGTCGATTCTGACAATTTTATAAATCATTAAAACATGGTGCTTCTTAATTCATTTCATTTTAGATGGTGGAAGACAGTCTAGTTTTGTCCATTCACATCTAGTAGATGACATTAAAATTACAAGTTATCGGTTTAAATGTACTGCAGTTTCAAAGTTGCCAACTATACCCATTTCCGACCATACTCCCGCTAATGCGATTTACAACATTTTTCTCCCGACTTTATTTTATTCTTAAAATTTCCCATGATTTTTATGTAGCTTGGCTTAATATTTCATTATTTTCAACCAAGAAAATGATTTTGGGCATCTGAAAGCTCTTGGTTTTCTGTCTTTGCGGTACACAACCATTGAATAATAATATGGTGTTCACATGTTCAGCCACTCGCGCTTTGCATATGGAGCTTGTTTCACACCTGACAACTGATAAGCTCATGATGGCGTATGAGAGGTGTATTGGTTGACTAGGGGTTCCTCGTATCATCTATACTGACAATGCTGTCATTATATATCATTATGACGTCAATGCTATTACCTTCCATGCCACAAATAAAAAATTGACTTTGCTCTGGAGTATCATAATAGCTAATACAATTCAAAATTTTTATGCTACAAAGACATTGATTTATGCCATGGGTGACTTGGTAGGGAGGTTGTAGGCAACATTTAATAGGATTACCTAAATAATGTCTTAGAAAACTGCTTAGCCATTCGTTGCTTTGCTGTGGAGTATCATAATGGCTAATACAATTCAAAATTTTTATGCGACAAAGGCATTGATTGTAAAGTTATTGCGCCGTGGGTGACTTAGTAGGGAGGTTGTAGGTAACATTTAATAGGATTACCTAAATAATGTCTTAGAAAATTGCTTCGTCATTTGTTGCCTGATGAGGAAGCACTCTCTACTGCATTATTAGGAATAGAAGCCACCCTGAACTGCAGACCATTAGTGTATGGATGAGGAAATGATTCCAAAGCCTTGCCTTCAGGTTATTTTCTAACTGGCCAGAAACTGACAACTTTACCATCAAAACCTGAATGTGAAAATGCAAAATTTAACAAGATTACAGGATACAACAAGATTTGTTGGATACATTTTTGAAGAGATAGTTTAAAGAATATCTTCAGATCGTAAATATTATCTGTTGATCTCAAAGAAGTGACTGGACCAGTGTAGGTATTCATTCCTCTTGACTAGGGAGGGCAGAGGATGTCCAAGTATCAGAATAGACTGTGCTGTTCATGATGGATTTTCCTATGCTCTGGAGTTTCATCAAGCTTTGGAGTCGGGCAGCAGAATATTTATGTAAGAATGATGCATTTACATTTAGGATGTGGTATATAAATGCAAAATAAACAAATAAATTTTTATTTCTTCCTCTTTTTTTGTGTGTGTGTGTGTCTAAGCATTTTTATTTGAATTATTTTTGAATTTCTAAAGTAGCTACATTTTCTTGTTTAATCTCTGAGACATTGGTGAAATGGATGAAGTCACTGAACACTGATACTTATTCCCAGTACTGATTCTGAAAATTTTATCTTCACTGTGAACGTAGTACTCAGATATAGGTTTCCCTTTGAAAGTGCTTTCACAAAGGCATCTGTTCTATTGCAGACTGTTGTGTATGTTGTGTTATGAGGAACTAACTCTTCATCCTTAACGCAGAAAGATTTACGCAAAAGTAAAATGTTTTAATATTTAAATCAGTTGCAAATTTATTAGGAATCAATTACTTTTAAGTTAGATATTTATGTATTTTATATGTGTATCACACTATCTCAAATTAGCAAACTTTTTTTTTTTTTTTTTTTTTTTTTTTTTTTTTTTTTTTTTTTTTTTTTTTTTTCAGATGCACAGGTTTAATGCTTTGGCTCAAATATATACTGACATTGGTTTTCACAGGAAGGCATCATTTTTTAAACGAATTGCTGCTATGCGTTGCGTTGCTCAGTCAAATCCTAATCCCAGTTGGACAGAATGCTATTATTTATTACTCCAGTCCTTTGAAGGATTTAAGCTTTCTCTAGATGCAAAAGAATTTCCCAAAGGTACATGTAATCCATTTGTAATTTTTTGTGATAGATAGCACATAAGATTTTAAGTTAGTTTTTTTTTCATTTATTTGTATGTGGTTTTCTTGAAATTTATAGTTTCTCGGAGTATAAACAGCTATCTTTCTGCTTACATATTGCAACTGATCTTAAGTATGCTATACTTGTTATAAATTATATAGAATATTATAAATTAATGTAGAACAAGTAGCTTCAAATAGGCCACACTTAAACAGTACAGAAATACATGTGTAGTCAGTTACGAATAGATCTTCTTGTTTAAAATTCCAGGACCTATCAAATTTTAAGCATCTTCTTCACAGTTTGTAAGATCCCGTTAGGCATTTCTTGCACCTGATGATAAATTTGTCTTTATTTTTGAAGTATAAGTGTCTAGTATCTAGCAAAGTGTGTTCAGGCCATGAAGCTCTAATTCAGTAGTTAATGCTATTTATTGCTTTTTCTATATGTGGAAGAAGCAATTTTGCCATAATTTGCTGTGATATTGTCACTTATTTTATAGGAAAATAGTTTCTGTCATCGTCAGGGAAGAAAAAGAGTTCTATACCTCTAACTAGGCTGGAAATATGTAATTTAAATAACCTAGATCAAGTATAAGATGATAGCAATCTCAATATCATTTACAGAGCAAAATAAAATAAAAAGGAAAGAAAGTCATGAGAAAAAGGTTTTATGGACAGAGGTAAAACTTAATAGAAATAGAGATGGTCAAATAGAGCTCTATTATCAAATAGATATAAATGTAAAAGGAATGAATGTGCATGAAATAATAATGTGACCATTTAATTTGTTTGATAGAAGCTGTAGAACACTTTGTAGAGTAATAAATTCACATGGAAACATTGAAATCCGTTTGCAAATGTGAGCACAGTGACAAATGTAGAGTGCTGCAATATTAAGGCAAAATTAAGGCTACAGATTAGCTATATATAGGCCCTTATTAATGTAGCTAAACATCACAAAGTACGGTGGAACATTTGGAGTCTGGAACAGTGATGTGTTAAGTGGAATGATGAATCATGGTACATTGAAGGTGAATGACATTTATGAGTGTGTGTTGTTTCTCAAGCCAAGTTTGGTGGAGGCAGCATTATGAGTATGGTTTTGTCTTTTGGCTTTGGTCACCTGGTTCCTATAAAGGGAAATATTAATACAGAAACATATCTTAATATTTTAGATAATTTAAGGCTATGTACATTATAGCAAAGCTTTGGTGTGTACTTTGGTTATTTTAGAAAGATTGGGCCTCTTAACATATACAGAAAAGGATATTAACACGCAATTTTTTGATACATACATTGTAGAAATGTTCTGGGCCAATTAAGAGATCTAATCTAAATCTTGTAGGACAGGAATGAATTAGTCATTGGGGTGATTTGGAATGTCATTTGCAAACCAGGTTCAAAATTGATGATGGAATTCACTGCTACTTTTCTGCAAGAATGAAGAAGATTCAATTAGCAATGTATGGAAATCTAGTAGGTAGAATGGTTACTCTTACAGCCAAAATGAGGCCCATTCTATACTAACTTCTACAAGAAGATGAGAAACATCAGCTGAATAATATTTGAGGAAGTACAACAATCTACAGTGATTTTATCAACTTCACTGTATCTTATTTTTATAACAGCTTCATAGGAAAAAAAAAAAAAAAACTTATGCCTGGTATTACACTTTGTGCTTGATTGATGAATAAATATGCCTGAACATTGCAGTGTCTTTGAAAAGATTTTCATGAAAAAAAAAAAATTATTTTGAAATAGCAAAAATCTTTCTACAGATCCTTTCTCTGAAGAGAATTTAATGGCAGACTTTTCCTAATTTGACAGGTGTCACGTCATAAAATCTCACTTGATTTTGTCATCAAAATATAGCTAAAAAATGTCAAATCTAGATCAAGGCATGAATTGCAATGCTTGGAGTTGTTTGCAATGTTAGATACTGAGATTAACCACTTCCACACATTCTGACTATTGTCGTATTTGCAGATGAGTTTCAGAATTACAGCGAATGCACTAGTGGAAGAAAGTCATCATAGTTTGTTGTAGATTTTGGGAGCAATCAGACACAAGCCCATCTTTTTAAAGTGCAAATTTTTTCCCTTAGGTGAGAGGAATGACAGCCTTTTCATATAGAAATCAATGGATGTAGCAAAATGAAAATGAACATAGTACTATCTATTGAAGAAAATCGCAACAAAACATAAAAAACTAAAATATTAGAAGTTTTAAAGCTTTACTGGGTTCTGATTAATATTATTAACTTAAGAGCTATTGCAAATATGAAAGGTTTCAAAGGAATCCAGATCATCAACCGAAGAAGCTTTGTGAATACTTTTCTTAGAATCAAAATGAAATTTGTGGCTAAGTGTGCAACAATGCATAACTATCAAAGATTAATTTAGTTCTGTTTCTGATGTATTTATTTCCTCTCTTTATTTCATCTTCTGCATTTATTTCTAACACAAAATTTGTATTCGTTGAAGCAAAATTTTAAGCTGTTTTAGTTCGGCTAACATATGTCAAACAACACTGACAGTGTATGCTATAAATTCTCCAAGAATTAAGATCAAAGGTGGACTCTTTAAGATTTGAATAATGAATTTACTGATAACATAAACTAACTTAACTAAAACATAAACATAACATAAACATAAACATAACTTAAACATAAACTAAAACTTTCTTACTGTCATGTGAAAATATAATCCTAAGGTTGAATTTTTTAGAATCCAAGCAAGTTTGTAACTGAATGCATTATGAAATGGAGTGATGAGAAAGTTATGGATTTTCCTAATAATTGAATGTTTTTTATGATGCAAGAGAAAAAAATTTAAAGGCTTTATCAATGGCCATGGCAGCAAATCTTTTGGCAGTAGAAACCAATTTGAGTAATTGAGTTCTGCAAGCAAACAGATGTTAAAGAACAAGCTTTTAAAGCATGATAAACATAACAGTAAAAATAAGCTGTTTTTGATAAGCAATCTTGCTTGATTAATCTTCAATTATGAGTACAGGTTTAATAACTTTTCGCAAAATATTTAATTTAGGGACAGATATAAAAGCACTAATCAAGAGAATATAGTAGCTATCTTCAGTACTGAATTAGAAACCTATCGCCAAAAATCCAGGAAAACATCCATATGCGCTGTTGACATCTGAGAGGCTGTGTGGATTTTAGATTAATGGATTTTCAGTGTTCTATATTAGTATTTTTAATTCAGTTTATTATGAAATATGTTCATTGAACATTTTTCTCTCCTAGATATAACCTATGGGTGGCCTGGGATTCAGGTTCAGATGCTATTTGATCTTGTTGGTGTGTCTAAACAGATGAATAATCAAGCAATAGCTGTTCGGTATGCTATTTCAGATAACTTATTGTTATGCATAAATTTGGTATAAATTTTCATTGTTTAACAATGTAAAACCATTACTATATTTTTGTAAAATGTGTGTTTCCCCCTTTTTTGTTTGTTGTTGGCGTAGGCATAACTTAAGGACCAATTAATTATATGTAGCATTATGTTTTTTTGACATTTGTAAAATCTGTATGTGATAATTATAAAATATTCACCTAGCGTATCTATTGACTATTTAAAAAAGTATTATTGTATAAAAGCATACTTTTACCATTGGCAAATGTAACTAGAAATTTCTGATGCCACTGTATTTAACAAAATTAGTCTGTAGTATCCTGAAATTTGAATAGAACTTTTGATTTATATATTTATATAACAGGCAACTTCAGTGGATTTTTCGTAATTTTTACAAAAACTGTTCTAATTATATAATCTTATGTGAGAAATTCAATTTTTACAAATTTTTTATAAAGTTGTCAAATATGCAAATCTGGCTATTTTTTGCCAAATTTGTATTTTAAATATGTACTTATTTCTCGTGTCTTTAAATTTACCCTAGTAAAACTAAGAAAGATGTATATTAAAATCAATATATTTTATCTAATTTCCCATATCTTTTGATAAGTGTTCCAATTGTCTCAAAATATCCACATATATCTCAATTTTCTCTTTAAACTTCATTTTATGCTTTTGCTTAACTTTCTTTCAAAAATCTTTTGAATTTTGTTATGAAATTGGCAAATATTGTACAAGATTGAAATCACAAGTTCTGTCTCTTTTCATCCCAGTGTTATGTAATATCTTTTTATAATTCCAAGTATTCTGTAATTTATTTCATACTCCCCTCTCCACTGGGAAGCCTTCATATTGGTGCCTTGGTATATAATGGTGGCATATCTTTATGCAAATTGCGCTGTTTGAAAAGACAGAAATCTTAATAACAGTGTAAGGGAGCATTAACAAACTAAAGATCAGTTACTTGCTTGAAGCTGATCGTCGGCACCCTAACACTAATCAGTGATTTTTGTAAGGATGATGAACATCCTTATGCAAGAACAGTTTTTGTCATTTACTAATTAATTAAGTCCAGTGATGAAATAAATCTCTTTCAAATATGGTGAATTTTTATAATGCTGCTTGTGCCCCTAACTAACAGTGGATTAACATAAGGGTGCCAAAGTTTTCATCAATCAAAACAATTTTTCAAGTTGTGCTTCTTGAAAGAGGACGCTGGTATTTTAGTAAAATAAATTTTATTTTAACCAAAATGAGAGAGTAAAAAATGTAATTAAAATTAAATAAAAATAAATATGTAAATTTAATTGTAATTAAATAAAAATGCCTTATACTACATCTTTAATATTCCGTCAGATATTCAAATTTTCATACATTCCATCTAGTAGTTTAAATATCCTGTCTGATTTTCTTTTGGTTTTCAATGTGTATGTCAATTTCAAATGCAAAAAAGCGTTTTTACTGTTAGTAATGGAATGCTTCGAATCCCCCATTTAATATTTTCTCTTCTTTTTCTAGTGCTTCATAAATATTTTTAGAATCATGGCATATGTGCTCTCCATAAAAAAGAAAGCTGCATTCAAGAAATTCTCTAAACAAAATTGCTCTCTATGAAAGAAAAAGAAGGATGAATAGCTATCAACAATAAATTAAATCAATGATTATAATATAATTCATAATTAAAATAAATACACATAACTTCGAAACAAAAAATGTTATTTTCTCAGTCCTCAACAAAAATTATTTGAAGACACAACCCATATTTTTGGAACCACTGTTCTAGTGTGTTTTATGTTTGAAATATGTGTTTCCAGAAAGCATGGTCAGCTATTTCTACACAAGGAACACAGATGCACACCTTTATGAAAAATGCATAAGGATCAGTTCCAAGTGTGAAACTGATCTTCAGTTTGTGCATGCTCCCTTATGCCACAGCACCATTATGAAGATTTCTGTCTTTTTGAATAGCAGTGGACTTACAAAAAGTGTGGCATTATTTATTCCGGAGCTCTATTTATGAAACAAGTCTTCATTTACTTATTGACCCATCACATACTGTTTATGAATGTAAATGGTAATTAATTATACAAAGTAAGACCGAAAAGTAAGGTGACTCACCCCTCCTTTCGAAAATGAGAACAGCTCGATGACCTGACACATTCGCAGTATAATCTTCAGTATGTAACATTGAAGTTCAGGGTCATTTGTAACGTTTCTTGTTTCGTGTTTGTTCATGCAGTCACTCAAACGTGAAAGGTGTTGGTGCACTGCATAATGGAGCAGATAACGAATCTTTTTTAAAATGGTTAAAACTGCTATGGAAACCTTTTAAATGCTCCGAAATGTGTATGGCGAAGAAACTTTGTCTCACAAGACAATATTTCAGTGGTTCAAACTTTTCTGTGGAGGTCATGAAAGCGTGGAGGATTAGCATTGCAGTTGAAGATTGTTGATGAGCAGAACGATGGCAGATGTTGAAAGAGCTAGGAAGTTATTGCTGCAAGATCGCGATTTGTCTGTCCGAATAATGGCGAATCAATTGAATCTTCCTTGTGAAATCGTCCGAACAATATTGACACAGGATTTGGGTAAACGGAAACTTTGTATGACGTTTTGTTCCTCATTACTTAAGCGATGAACAAAAAGAGCAGTGATTGGACTCCTGTGGGAACTTCATCAATGCAGCAGATAAACATGACATGTTTTTATAGTCAATCGTCACAGGAGATGAAACGTGGTGTTTCACGTATGATTAACAAATGAAACAGCAAAGCATAGAATGGCGGGGTCCCTCATCGTCGAAATCGAGAAAGTTTCCCTTCGAAAAATCAAAGGTTAAGACAATGTTGATTATCTTTTTCGTCACACAGGGAATTATCCATAAAGAATATGTACCAGAAGGTCAAACAGTTAATGGTGAATTTTATTGCCATGTTATGAGATGCCTCCTGGCTTGCATTCGTCGTGTTCGGCCCCATCTCCCTGCATCAGGAAGTGGTTTCTGTTGCATGATAATGCAAGCCCTCATACTGCAGTGTGTGCTAGATAGTTCATCACACAGAAAAGGTTATGGAATTATTTCATCCTCCTTATTCCCCTGATCTTGCGCCAGCAGACTTTTTCCTCTTTCCATGACTGAAATTTGCATTAAAAGAGACACTGATTTTCAAGCATCTCAGACATGCAAGCTACAGTTACCAAGGAACTTAACACAGTCTCAAAGAAGAACTTTTTCAAAAGTTTCCAGAACTTGTATGAACGTTGTCAGAAGTGTATTGTAGATGGCAAGAACTGCTTTGAAGAACAGTGATGTATTTATATGTAAATATATAATACAGTTATTATTATGACATCAGTCACCTTACTTTATGGTCTCACCTTGTATTTCCAAGTTACTTATATCTTGTGCCATGATGAAAAATAATTTAATTGATAATTGATTAATAATTTAAAATTGAAGTCTTAATATAAGTGATTCGGTCAAGTTGGTTGAATATGGCAAAGCACACACAATGGCTAATGCCTAAGTGAGGAATGTCTTTATGGGAAACTGGCTTATGTTCATGTTACATGTAGAATAAAACACACAAGCCACTCATACAGGAAACTTGTGTGCCTGGGAAACCACTTGGTCACTAGTGGGCCCTAAAGGATTAGAGTGAATGAGTTCAGAATGCTAATTGAATTTTTCTTTAATTTTAATGTTATATATTTAATTTAGAGCATCTAATCATCTGTTTTATTAATGCTTTATTTTTGTATACTTTATTGTGTATTAAAATATTTATTATCTCATAAATGGGCTGACCAGTGTGGAGTGTTTTGGAAGTTTTGTCAGGTATAACTTTTGCTGTCAGGGTAATGGAACCTAGCTGATTTTTTTATTCTTTTTAAAAAAAATCTAAATTTATTTTTAAAAATATTAAATTTTGTATAATTATGTATTTTTATTCAAAAAAGACTTTTAAGTTTATTTTCTTGGACTTCATTTATGAAAAAGTTGAATTGTTCGAAAGATTAAATTATTAAGTTAGAATGTGTTGATAAAAGCCATGCTGAAGCATTTAATTTCCATCAAATAAAGTAAAAATTTCTCAATTTTTTTAAATTTCAATTTTTTCTCTCTCTCTCTCAATTTTTTTAAAGGGAGGCTCTTTCCTTTGTATTGCAGTGATGTACATATATTATTTAAAACCTTGAAATACATAATCCTGAAGGAGAAAAGTTATTAATACACTCTTCAAATGTAGTCTCCTGCATAAGTGAAATGTGTATCCATCAGTATCATTTATATGAAAAATCATACAGTAAGAATCGCATGAAAACCCTGCCAATAGCCGTGTTAAAATTGCTGAATGCAGGTAGTTTGACATAAATTTAAATTCTGGTCATTGGGTTGACTGCATGGGAGTTCTCTGTGTGTAACTTGAACATGATCTAGTTTTCCTAAATTCTGGTCTGTGGGTTGGCTGCATGGGAGCTTTCTGTGTGTAACATGAATATGATCCAGTTCTCCTTACAAGAACCTCCATCAAGGATCTCTTCTTCGTGTAGATAGTTCTTGCCCTTAATCTGAATCCATTCACCTGAAACAAATTGTATGAAACTTTCTCTAAGCATTGTGAGTAATGAGAAACACTCATGCCATATATGCGGATTTCTAAAAATGATAGCTCTGTTCTTTAGACTACAACTTGGATAACCAGAATACTGGTTCTTATTTCATTTTTGTGTAATTAGCATGTCTTTATAAAAGTGTATTTCCAATCCTTTATGTCAAAACGATATGATAAAAAGCTTTGTGAAGGCAGCAGGTAGAAAAGGAGAGGGTTTTTACTTTCTGAAACCCAAAATTAGTGAACCAAAAATTGAAAGAATCTTTTGTTGTTCCTCAAATTAAAGAGCTAACGAATGATTCTGAATTTGAAGTTGCATTAAATAAAGATGAATTTTTCTCAGAATTAATGATAGGCATCCAGAAGGCAGGGAATTATACAAAACTAATTAGTGAGTGCCTGAAAAACTAATGGGGGTGTAACATGCAGTTTGACAGAGTTTCTGGATTCTCATCTTGATATTTTCCTCAGAGCACTTAGGAACCATAACTGAGAAGCGCAGAGAATGTTTGGATAAATGTTTATGTACATTTGAAAACATGTAATATGTAGCAAAATGCTAGACAGCTGTATGAAATTTATACTACTGCTTTGGTAATTTTAAGAAGCTTGTTGAAGTAATATTGTAATATTGTAACAGGCTACTTGTAAAGAATCGTGTAAAAAGGGAGATTTAAATGAAAAAGTTTGGTTTTTTGCTGCTCTAGGGTGAACTGGGGAAATGGATATATTATTTTCATTAGCTAATTTAGGCTACCCAAAATCGTGTGACTGATGGAATGTCATAGTTCACGGTTTTCATTTGAGGTTCATTGTTGTGATTGAATCATATCAAGGTTGTGTTGGTTTGTGAAGGGTTAACTAAAATATAGAAAAAAGTTATGAATAAATGTCTTGTTTTATATAAATAAAACAAATTTTTTATAAGTTTCTGAGTGCTATGTGCAATGAAATGAATGATAAATAATAATAAACCAACAAGTATCAAATTCAATTAAATTATTTCTAAGATAAGTATAATTAATAATTGAATTGACCGTTTTTTAAAAACTAGAGCACCTGTTGCTCAGAAAAAAGCACAATAACAAAATTTGGTAACTAGATCTGAAATCCAGTAGGTGGAAATATTTTGAAGTTTAATATTTTTGATGTTTAATATTTAGTTTCTGCATGGATATTTATTATGTTGATATATTTAATTTTATTTTTATAATTTTATTTATTTAATGACTATATTAAATTTCATTTGTTCTGAATGATTTACGTTAAAGCAAGGTTTTACATCTGTGTTTGAAAACCTTAAAAACAGGCAATCTGTTTCTAAGGTTTTACATCATCTGTTACCATTTTGTTCATGTTAAGTCTGATCACTTTTTTAATCCACCAGTCATATGACATTCCTACTACATACACTGTTAAGCCATTTGAGTCCAGCTGAGCAGCAAGATGCATGTTTACAACTTGAATCTCTAACAGCAAAATGTGAAGGAGCTCCAGTTCCTTTGACTCTTGATAATGGATTAATAATACCTCCAGTAAATCTTCTGAATCTTCCACGTGTAAAGTAAGTATATTCCTTACTTAATGTTTTACTACTGTTGAATATTAAACAATAATCATTTAAATATTGACATAATTTTGATATTCTCATTGAATTTAATGACTGTTTGATTACTATAAAAACCTTACTTCTAAATAAATCAACATAGCTTTACAATTAATTAGGTTTTGCTCTGCAGTCATTAAAGATTTAGTTTTCAGTAGTGATAATTTTTTTTCTTCAATTTCAAGAAGGATGTGTCCTTTTGAAATTCATGTAAAGGATTCTTAAATCCATCAGTTTTATAAAAACAAATAAGGCTTATTTGAAGAGAGTAGAGTTGCCTTTAAAAATAACAAAATTTTTTAAAAATTAAAAAAAAAAAAAAAAAAAAAAAAGACATCGGACTAATTAAACTTCTCCATGATGTGATGAGTTGAAGGCTGTCAAAAATATGAAATATCAAAAAGAGCAGAAAATTCATATGTGAATTTATATTTTAATCTGAATTTAACTTAGTAGTTGCTGTTTGCAGATTTCTCATTGTAATAAAGTTTGATAGGCTCTAAAAATTCGAGAGTGTTATATATTTAGTGTATTTCTTTCATAAAGAATGGCTCAATATTTTAAATTTAGAATTACGTTTCACCAACAGACAGTAAATTATAATATATTGAGATATTGTTATAAGCCTATGTAACTGAGACAATTTAAGTAAAAAAACAAAGTATTGTTGGCAGTGTTCCATATAACCTAAGTGTATTAAGTGCTGTTTTTGCATTCACATATTGCAAACAATGCAAATTGTGTGTTTAATGATTTTCAAGAAACTGATTTCATGCGTATGTAACATGTATGTGCAATTTAACTGTTATTACATTTTCCAATTTGGCATTGTATATAAAGAAGCTGCCCAGAAACTTACAAACCAGTGCACGAAATACATCTGATAGTCATACATTTTGTTGATGTTCTTTGGAAAATTATTATAAGAAGTTGTGCTTTCTTTAGCTTCTGTGTACACAATTCAAGCACTGAAATTACAGCTAGATCTAAAATATTGTAGAACATAATTATATTATTATAGATCAAATATATTATAACATCTAAAATGTTAGAGTGTTGGCTATTTGGGACAAATAAGTGTAATGAAATTGTTAACTTTTATTTTCCATAGTTCTCTTTGCATATCCACTTCTCTACCAGATTCTGGTATTGTATTTTGATGTTAAAAACATCCTGGTTGGATATTGGTAGTTATATATATGTGTACAATGTCTGAGGTCTGGATTCATCGGGAATTAGGTAATTCTGGATGCAAAAACATTTTCGGATTTTAGTTTATGAGTTTATCAAATGCATTGCTTAGCAGAAGTACGCGTAGTAGAAGTCACCAAATTTCCAGCATGTGCCAAACTCTGGCAACCATATGCATAACCATTCTGGCAACCATGCTCATAAAAGTTCTTCAGTCAAGAAATGCCACCGTTTTCTTAAGTGTTCTTTTTTGTTGTATTCCAAGTGCCAGTGGTTTTTATAAACAAATCATGATATTTTCTGCCATATACCTAGTTTTAAAATATGAACTTGTGGAATTGGTCAGCAGTGGAAGAAACTGCAGTAAAATTTTTGCAGGAATGCAGAATTTTGCAGAAAATTTTCCAAAAGGGAACAATTAGAAAGTGCCTATAATAGATAGCTGTTGTTGCTGAAGTTTGCACGAAAATGAGTCACCGTAATTCTCTTGATTTATTTTAAGTGAAAGAAGATCGCTATGTACTTCAAGAAGAATAGCGAAAAAAATTTACAGAAAGATTTGGATGTGTTTTATTTTCTTAATATATCATGCAATCTTTATTTAATAATTTAAATTCGTATTTTGAATTTCTAAAGTATGTTTTCTTTTCATATGTTGATAATCATAAGTTGATAATGTTTATCAACTTACTATAATAGTTTGAGAATCTTAAAAAAAAATTAAAAAAATTAAAAAAATCTTAAAGGTTTCAGATTTTAAATTAAGTCCAACGGGGCTTTTTTAACGTTTTGTGTGTTACCTTTATTTATTAAATATTATGTTCTTTGCACTTAAACAATAGAATTCATTTCAACAGCAATGTTGCAAAATAATGTTAAAATGAGTATATCTGTAGAATTTCTGATGCATACTTCTATGCGATGGAGATAAAAAGGTCTCCTCCCCCCTGTAGAATGTCGCCATTGCTCGTTTTTAAATCGTTGAGTTTGTTAATCAAAAATTCGTTAAAAGTTTTACAAAATATGAAATCGGTAATAAAACAAATTTGGGTTTTCAGATGCCCATATTCGTAGTAGGATTACGTCATTCAAAATTTGGATAGCTCTAGGTACTGTTGTTTTATTACAAAGCGAGAACCATACATACATTTATGCAGATTCTTCATTATTTAATTTCTTCAAATATAATACAGGGTGATAGTATTTGGTGGCAATAATTTTAAAAGTCAATTTAATTAAAGCTTTCAACGCAAAATCACAAAACGTAACCAATAGTCCTTTGGGGACAAAGCCCCTTTGGACTAAAAATACAAGGCAACCAACAGCTTGCACCCAGTAACTTCTACATTTTTCAACTGGTAAAAAATCCCCAAATTGCACCTAAGTGGTTGTGTTAATGTATGTACCAAGTTATAAAATTAAAAATATTTTTTGCCTGTTATTTTAAAACAAAGTTATTTTGCATTAAGATTTTTAAAAAGTTTTATCTAGCATAAGGAAATAATACCACTTGAAGAGATAATAATCGTATTTTCTGAATTAAAACCGTATTACAGATATTTGCCATTCCATTAACTGATTGGCGATCGAGGAGTTCTCATCACAATGCAAGGCTTCAATTATATTATCTTCATTTAGCATTTCTTCTCGTATTTCATTAATCGAAAAATTTCACTTTTTCTTGTGATATCTTAAAACCTAATTAATGACTTATCATAAAATTTGGTAGCTAATTGTAAATTTTGCCAAATGTTTAAAAAAATATCTCCAGATATGTCCTCATGACTTTGTAATGCCCCACGTGCTAGGTTTTGTATTAAAATATTGCTAGAATTCTTGGATGGTCTTATTACTGTGTAACTTTTTAAAAAGCTACTTTATACTTGCATTGCAGTGTGTGCAAAATTCCAGTATCCATTTGCAGATTGGCAGATGTATAGTTTTGGTGCAAGAGTAAAACAGTGATATTATCATCTACTAAAACTGTAATTTTGATGATATTATTAATAGCAATAGAGAGAGCAACATAATAATCTGCTTTAAATCAGAAAATTAAGAGAAGCATGCAGTGTAGTATATTAACTGAACTAAGTTCCTGAAATCCTGGTTCTTTCTCCCTTCCCTAATTGTATGCCAACAAAAGGAAACTTGTATGAGCAACATACCACTCAAAATATATATGCTTTAGAGCTTAACATTATTGTTTAGACAGATAATAAAAAATGCCATTCCCCCAAATATCAAATTGGAAGGGTGGTCATGGCTAATATCAAAACAGCTTCAATCAGTGTGTTACCTTTGGCCATGGTTGATTTCCTAGCCAGATGATGTTTGAAAGTGATAATTTGTGCCGGCTAGGAGGATCAGGGCTGTGCCCTTATAATATTATACTAGAATTATAGTTGGAAGAGAAATTGCTTTTGCAGCACACTTTCTTTTTCTGAGTATTCTGTATTCCTAAACTGTCTAAGGACAAATAAATTCTTAAAAAGTTGTTTGCCAATTGTCTGGATTGCTAGATCATTCCATATACTACACATCCAAAATTCACACTTTGTACTATATCTATATCAAGCCATCTCTTGCAATTCTTTGGTGGTACCACTCGTCAACTTCAGTTTTAAAAATTGTGATCATTGGAATCGGAAATTTCTTTCTTAGTGCAGTATTCCGCTTCTTAGGATAGAATCAGGGATCGTTTTATATAAAAGTTAACTATAGCAGATAGTTTTCTGTTATGAAATCTAATGAACGGAAAACTCTCTGTGCAGGTCAACAACAATAGCCATTTTCTAATAATGAGTTTCTCTTTTTACAGCTTTACTATTTTAGCTTTCGTGCATTGATATATTTACTTTTCTTGGAGAAATCCTTTGCAGTTAAAAGTTACATTGCCTACAAAAGGCAATAAATTTCTTAAAATTACAGAAGTAAATTCTGTTTAAAATCTGTTACTGAATTACTTCTCAGTGCTTAATAGTATTTCCTTGAAATTTTCCCCCACTGCATATGAAAATGAAATTTTTATCCATTGCAGTGTTAGATATTTGCACAGAATACTCCTGTGGGACTCACTTAACCCTTTCAGGATGGGCTTCCCATATATACTATAGTGTCTTGTATTCTTGTATTCTTTGGTAACATAAACTAACGAGATCTAAAAGACTGAGAAATTATTCTCAGGTCCTCGTTACGACAAAAGTCAGGAAAGTGTAAAGAACCCTTTACTAACTCAACATAACTTCACAGTTGGCCCCGCTTAGGCGACACAAGAGCCCATACTTCTAGCTTAACTCAAAAGATAAGGATGTATTTAAAATGTAGTAAGTTGAGCTTAATGGCTCACAGGATAATTTAATTCACAGAACGGTCTGACTCGTAACAGTTGGCATAAACAATCCTAGTGGATAGAAGCACTCAATGCCACAGGAATTTAATCACTGGTAATTCAAGATAGCAACATGGTATTCAAGCAGGCAACACACTCTAAAATCACCTTCCAGAACCTTCTCTTAACTACTTTTTCCTACCTTGAATACATGCATGCTACCTTATTAACATTCTGGGCAAGAAAGTGGGGGTTTGAAATGAGAATTAAAGGAATGCATCACTGGAGAACTAGCACAAGGGATGGGTGATGCATATATGCATTTAAGCTGAACCGTGTTTTAAAGACCACTAGATGCCGTTTTATATCTGTTACTTTTGAATTGAATATAGTTTTAGGATCTTAATTTTCACTTTGAATGCATTCTGCATAATGTTGTTGTTGGCTGTTGCTGGGAAGGAGGCAAAGTGTAATGTAAACAAACAGAGCTCGGCTCTTTAACTTGCCATGTGATATGAAGCATTTGCGTTTCTAGTACCCCTTCCAAGTCTTTTTATATATATATTTTTCCTACTATGTAGGGTCTTTTAGGGTTACTTTGTGGAGTTCTGTTACACTGTGCATTGCTGTTATTGTTTATATTTCGCATACTTCCCTTTTTATTTTGGAAAGTCTTGACTTCAAGTTTATTGTGGCGAGAAAACGTTACTTATCACAGGAAAGATATGCTCTCATGGTAAATGAGCAAATTAGTGACATGGATGAGTATGGTGATTCATTTTCTGAAAAGTTAGAGAGTGATATTTCTAGTGATTCTCATAAGGATATTTTATGAGAGACTGACCTTACTTAGTGTCAGCCTTCTACTTCCTCTGAAAGATTTTATTACTTCTTGTAAATAGTCTTTCTTAAACTTTTTTGTTAATTAAAAAGTTTATTAGTGTATTTTGTCAATTTAAAGTTCGGAATAATTTGGGAAGTGCGTCCAAAAATTATTTCTCAAAGTAAGCTATTTGTTTCACATATTTTCATGTAAAGGAAAAAGATAGTTAAGTGCTCATTTTAACATATATGATAGCTTAAATAATAATCTAAAATAGTTCAAAAAATATGATGGTAGGATTTAAACTTTTTTTTTGCGATTCCCCCCCCTAAAGTTAGGCATAGCTACGTAAAACCCCTGTCCTGTAGGACGATTCCTTTCGACTCCTATCTGTTCTGATGGAACATCTTAAACAAAGGCGTGTCATCTCAAAAGGCTTGAAAAAATACAATGAATGTAATGCTTTCTTTTTAGTTAAAGTTTTATTCCATGTAAGGTTCTTATATGATTGGAGTTTTATCAAATGTAATCATAATTTATAATAGCTATTTTTTAAGCAGTATCTTTTAAAGGAACTATGGTTTGCATTATTGTAAATAAAAAAAAAGCTCACTGGTAAACCTGTTATGTTATGCAGTCTAAATAGATTTGGAATGGCAAGCCCTTAAACCAGTTAGAATGAAACCATTGTTCAGCTATTTTATCATATGTAAAATCAAGTGCATAATAGTTAGCCTCGAAAATTAATTGTTTCATTGATAGTGCAAAGGAATAAAAAATAAGATTAGAAAAAACAAATTTCAGTTTTTTAATTACTTAGTTAATTTAGAATTACTAATAAAAGTAGTTCGGATATTAAACTGTTACTGTCTGGATAAGAAGTATGCATTATAATTAATGTACATATATATATATTGTTACATGTGTATGGCTTCCTAATGGGTTGGAATGCAAATAGAACCAATGATAGCTTGATAAAATTTATTTTCCAAAAAGAAAACTTAACAGTTCTGGAAGTTTCTTCAAAAGTACACCTTCAAGTCTTCTGAGTATGACAGAAAACAATCAGTAGTTATCACTTCAAACTACTAAAATACATTAAACACAAGGCATTGCATCTAAAGAGCGAAGATCCCACAGAGATCTCTCAGCCCTGTGAATTCAACTATGAACTAAAAACTGAGAATTGATGCCCTCTCTGGTCTTATATAGATTTCCCTTGGCCACCAAAAAATCTCTAGTAGCTGTCATTCTTGAAATTACTACAAGGCATGTGTGGTTACAGTTACATGTAGGGATCGATTAGTTATACAATTACAGTAACACTTATACAGGGAGTAGACAAAAATAGTCGTGAAAATCATCACCAGCTTGGTGATGTCCATTTACCTCAATGTTGAAAAAACTTGTCCCTATAACCTTATTTTTCCAGCAGAGCTTCACTTTCTCAAGCATTTCTTGTTACATTATAGAAAAGATACTACAACATCGCTTGTAATTTCCCTAAAATTATTTACATATATACAAAATTCATAATATTGTGCACATAGCTTAAGTAATGTAAATTCAAATCATATTCACAGTGGAGTAAGGAATGAGTAAAAATGAACTTTTAAAAAATAATACTGCTATAAAAAAGCTAGTAAACAAGACCTGTTCCAGGAACATGTGCAAATGTATGTATGTATGTGATATAAATGGTAGCAGTCATTGTTGCCAGTTAAAAAATTTGTTTCAGTGTTGCATAATGTTTTTAGCACAGAAGCAGCTAATAAGTGTAGTCTGTGCATCCATTCATGATCAGTTGCTTTTACCTTTCCTTTGCACCTGTATTATGATATATTTGATAAAAGTGCCTACATATTAACAGCAGCAAGTGAGAGAATGCAACATAATCAAGATGAGAGCCCATTTTAGAATGATTTAGTTGGGGTTCAGCTTTATTGCTACTGGTTTTCCCCCCTGCTAATTTGAGTATTATAATTGGCTGAAATATTATGTAAATGTCTGTGTCAGTAGTGTTATGTGAGAAGAATTAATTTTGAAGTGATGCAGTTTTAGAGCTATTTATTTTTTTAGGGAGAAAAGAAAATTAACTGAATTAAAAAGGAAAGTTATTGCAAATTAAACATAGTATTTAATCTTACACACAGACACATGCATATATCAGGATAGTACAAAAGACTAACTATTATCTTTCCTCAAACATATTTTATTTCACACAGTTTGCCCTTATTACTTCTATGTAGGATTTGTGCTTTTCAGTCGCCACATTCTTGTGTCTCAAAAAATTTGTCGTTCCTTGTAAGCTTCTGCATTTATTCAATGTTTTGATGACTTGGGTAACAGCTAAACAATACCCATTTGAACAGAGGTAAAAAGGTGCCCATACAGGGGGTTTTATTTTTTAAAGGCCTTTATCCATGACAAAGAAAATACCCAGGCTTGACACGTGTAGGCCAAAGTAACAGCAAAAGTAACAGCATTAAAATTTCACATGAAAGAAAATGATTCTTACATTTGAAAAAGGAGATGTAAACAGATCTTCAATATTTAATGATTGTTGCATACTTGATCACAGTTTTTAGTTTGGTTCTTTGAAAATTATCCCTGAAGTTTCCTCCAAGCTTTTAACATTCACAAAATTTTATCTTCCGAAGCAATACTAATCTAGTCTTCATAATTCTTAGAATTTTAATATTGCTGTGAGCTATGGTATCAATGATGTTTACTTAAATAATGTGTCCAGATCTGCAGAACAAAATACGCAATTATTAGGAAAATAATCTCTAAATACATACACAGCAAAATAACATATAATAAATAATAAACAAATAATAACTGAAAATAAATAAAAGGAGCCTGCAGATTCTTGGAAATTCTGTCTTAACGTTTAAAAGTAATTGTAAAGTTCCTCAAATCACTCTCAGTGAACCCTAACTCATAGTTCAACTAAGTCTTACAGCTGATTCACAACTGAACTCCCTAGCTCTGCCACCTGTATTTATATTCTGCAGTGTGGGCTCTGTAAATTTGTGGAAGAAATATCTCAAGTTCTAATTGAGGTGTTTTTACAATTCCAAAGCTGTTGCTCTCAAAAAAAAAAAAAAAAAAAAAAAAAAAAAAAAAGATCTACAGTTCTAGGCAACAAATAAACATTTAAATACAAGACATAAGGCCACAAATTACATTAAACACGAAATAAACCATAAAATTAACATTAAAAAATAAATAACCAATACAAAATGCTATAAAAATACCGAAAAAATTGCAGTCAAAAAAGAATTAAAATGTGTACAAATATTTTAGTTTCCCCTGTTTTATTACTATTCTCCTCAACATGTGGTGTTATGTTTCTTTTTTGCTGTGCCCATTGCTTTTGAAATAAAATGTTTGTTGCTTCTCCCATTTTTGCAGAAATTTTTCTTTTTTTTTTTTTTTATTCTCTGGAATAAGTAAGAAATCTATTGTTTTATTTGATTTCTACGTCAGAATAAGGTTGCTTTTTTACCTAATTTTAAATTTTACATTGACATTTTCTACCTAATTTTAAATTTTATGTTGACATTTTCTACCTCATTTTGAAATAGCAGTTAATTAAAACAACATAAACAATAAAAAACAAATTTGAAATGATATGTTTATTTGTAACTTAAAGAGTTATTAAGTATTGTTACTGTATTTAATTTTTGTTTTTCATTTTACACTTACAAAATTTTCTTTGCTCCCGATTTTAAGCTAGATAATGCAGTTTTGTCACATTCTTTATATCTATATTTTTCATAATACTAGGGATTTTTTGTTGGCCAGAGGAAAACTATGCAAGACCAGAGACAGCATCAGTTCTCAGCACTTTGCATTGCATTGTGTTTAATGCTCTTTGTAGTTTGGAGTGGTGGAGCATTTTTTGTGTAAACTGTAAAGTGTTCCTTTTGGGTAACTAAATTTTATGAAGTTATCAATGGTTCTCTGGGCATTCATTCCAATATGAACCTGTACATGTACAACAATATGTAAAAAATACTCTGAAATAAATTTAATCCCTTTTTTTTTTCATGATTGTTACTGTTCTCTTTTGACATGCTGTTAAATTTATTACATGATTCACATAATAGATATTACAAGAAATCTAATCAAATTGTGTAAGTAACTATTGTTAATGAATTCGTTAATGTGTGTGTTCTTTCTTTTCAAGAACTTTCAAGCTTCAGAATCTTGCACCACATTTAAGGCCTGTGAAAATGGTTTCAAATGATTTAAAAACAGATTCCGATCAAGATTCGATCTTCATATTTTCTCCTATTCCTAGAGATAGAGAAAAGTCAAAGGATAACAAGATTGGTATGGATATCTTCTGCTTGTTTAAGAAAATTAATTATTTCGCTAGGAATATGATCTGTAATTTCTAAATGATCTCGCTGAAGAAACTATGTACACTCATAATTAAGATAAAATAACACACCGAACAAGTATTAATTTAAAAGTCAAACAACAAAAATCAACATTATATTTGCAAATTTTCACAGGACTGGTTTTTAAGGTTTTATCAAACCATCATCCTCAGTTACCAAAGTGCAGAATGCTTTGGCAGCTAAGGATGATGGTTCTATAAAACCATCGCCAGTCCAGTGAAAATTTGCAAATATAGTGCTGATTTTTGTTGTTTGATTTCTAAATTAATATGTACACTCATGTTCATAAATTAAAGATAATGCCAGCTCCGGTAAATGAAGGTTCAGAAACAAAACAAACATGACTTATTCAAAAGGCCCTTTCTTAAACAAAAGATAAAGAACACAAAAATTATGTATGTATGATACCATTCCTAAAAACTACATTTGTTGCTCCCAGGAGCACTTACGAAAAATATCTTCCTTACAAAAACTTAACGTTACGTGGTTGGTACAATGGTTAATACATTATATGTCTTCCAGATGATGAAATACAGTCCGTACAATGCCTAGGCATGCTAAAAATCAAATTATTGAGCTGATGTAGGAAAGATACTCCACTCATCAAGCAGTGCTCTCCACTTCCAGAGTTCCGGTACACATGTAGGAGGTGCTTGACGGGCTGCAATTCATTGGCCAAGCATGTCCCACACATGCTGTATCGGATTCAGGTTAGGTGAGAATGATGGCCATTCCATATGTGTGATACCCTCAGATTGAAGGCATTCCTTTACTATGTTTACATGGTGAGAACAAGCATTGTCATCCATTAACGCAAATTCTGCACCCGTGGCACCCCTAAACAAACATATACGTTGTTCCAAAATGATGTTCCGATAAATTTGGTGTGCCATGGTTCTGATCTGAACGTGCAGATCTGTTCTGGAGCTCAGTATAAGTCCACCCCAAACTAGCTAGCCTGCACCACTGTAACGGTTTTGTTTAATGATGTTATCTTTGTGATAACAGGTACTCGACTTTCCATGAGTCCACGTGAAGCAGATGCAAGCTAAACTTGGTTGTAAAACATCCACAACCCTCCTTATGTCTGCATGCATGTTCTCTCCCCAGGCTAACCACTGTGACAGGAGTTGCCGTGTGGGAACACACTGACGCATGCGAACATGGACCATCCGTCCCAAACGTCGTACACGTTGCTTGAAACTGTCTACTAGCTGAGATATCTGATAAGACAGGTCCATGCTGCTGTCTTCTTCTTTGGCAGTTACGCAATACCATTGTCATTGCATTGTAACATGGGGGCACTGTACTGTAACTTCTATTGACATTCCATCATTGTTGGAATGTTGCCAAAGCATAGAGGTGACACATGCTCTGTCCCAGCTCTTGCATACTTCATCTGAGTACACCCAATCCAGTGAGCAATAATTCTCTGCGAAAAAATCATCAATCATCTCTGTGCACAATTTGGCTGTGGCGTGAGGGCTTGCAGAAACTTGTGAACAATTTACTTTTTCGATACTATTCTTAGATGCAATCTCTACACTCTCATTATGGTGAAGGATTACGCGCCATCTGATGCTCCTGTATTTTGTGTATATTCTTGAATGTTGTGATATGCTACAGGTGAAATTTTTACTTTAGAGTTCGATTTCCATGTGATTCTGAACTATCCTTAATTTATGGACATGAGTGTATTATCAAGAAAATGGAAAATGTCCTAAATTTTAATGCTGACTACCTCCAAAAGTGTTTTGCTATATGATTCTTGTTGTCTGGTAATTTATTAAACCAAGTTTTAATGTGACATGATAGATGTTTAGCTAGAGGATACCATAACATAGCATACGTATATGCAGATTTGTTACTCTGTATAAGCTGTCAAAGTATGCATTGCATCGATGGATTATATGTATTTATGAAATCAAACTTTGTGTGAGATAAATGTTTAGTAGATAAAATTCTCTGTCTTGCACTTCAGTAATAATGCTATTTAACTTTCAGACTGTTATTTTTAATCTAAATTATTATTATTTTACTTGTATGTTGCATCTTCTCCATAGTTGTGCCTTTATTCTTTTATACAGTCTTTTACAATTTGAATAATTTTCAATTAAATTTCTGATGAATAGTAAGTAACCTTTAGGAAAGCTTTTTGTGTAAAAATGTGATGTTGCTTTAGAGTCAATGTTAAGTCATATTTTCTCCATTGGCCCACTAGCGGCTGGGCGGTAAAGTTGCTGAACACTGGTAATTTGGTGCTAGGTTTGAATCCTGGTGAATGGGCTGGCTACATGGCATTTTCATAATTTTCTCAATGTGTAACTTGTATACAAGCCAGTTTCCCTTAAAATATCCTCTATAGAGACATCCTTCCCTTTAGGCACTTTGTCATAATCAAATGCACTTGCCATAATCAAATAAACCAGTTTTCTGTTTTGCTGGGGTATTGCTTATGTTTACATATAATCATTTTGCTCCACTGGACACGTTTTATCTCTAAAATCAAATTCATACTGTGAACACAAAGGAATATTACCTACTAGTGTAGCATGCACCCAGGATTTAGGGCTTTCTTCTTTGATTAGAAAATCAACTGTCTGTTATAACATGATCTTATGGCAATTGCAATAGATTTTAAGGCTGCTTTTGTGGTGTGATTTGTTGATAATTTGTGGTAGGGTTTGTTGAGTTAATTTACTTCATTCAGTTATCAAGTTAGCATGTTTTTAAGGATTACTTTATTGAGGATCTTTTATTTCCATTACTGTATTGTTTAATAGAAAGCTTTTAAATGGTTTTCATATGATGGGCAGCTCTTATTGAGAGTTTTCTACATGTTGAACCAATTTACTGAGTTCAAGTATTTGTTTCATCATTGCAGGCAGGGATCATGTATGCATGTGATGTTTCTTTTGCGTTAGCATCAAATTTATCTATTTTTAACATTTTCCAGATGGATAGGATTGAAATTATGAAAAGTTCATATTCCGATCTTGAAAATTGAATAGATATGTAGGGCATTGGATAGCAAAGGAATTTTTCAGTGAATTTACTTTTTATTTGGTTGTTATATCAATGGATACTTTTTCTGAATTGATCGCAAAGATTTATATATTGATTTTATTGGTGATTTGTTCAGCTATGTTATGTATGTATTATTTCTTGCAGTTTGTGGAATGTATTTATTTTCATTTTTGTAAAGTTTAGGTAAACCCTAATTTTCCTTGGTGCCTTTCAAGTGAAAATAAAAGTCCAACTGCTTTATGATAATGAAATTAATCAGATGGGTGTGCCAGGCTGCTTGTCAGTTTATATTAGATTGTTGTATGAAATGTTATTGCCTGTTCTTAAAATAAGTTGGTTAAGGAACTGAATGCTAATTCACTTTTAATTTGTTTGTTAACTGTTAATTAGGGAAGCTTTCTGAAATATATGAAAAAATTGCTAAGTTCATCTTCTAAATATTTCGTAAGATACCACCAAGAAAAAGAAAAAAAAGTGTCCTTGAGAAATTTTTAAAGGGAAATATTCTATGTATTGCATTGAAATTTCAACCAAAATGGAAGATACTGAAGCTTCATAACAAGTCCTTGCTATTTGTAAGTTTATTCATTGGCTGTGGGTACTAAAAACTGTGGATGAAGTGAAGGGCTTCCTAAATGTTAGTGGTAAATTTGGATGAAATTTTTAGTTGTGTAATTTAAGGTTTTGACCAGAATTATTAGGAACTGAAACCAATAGACATCATGGCACTGTCAGGACTGCCTGCCTTTGGAAATGAATACTTGATATGTTATTCTTAATGAAAGTTGAGAATAGTTAAACTAGCCTAGTTTCAATTTGTAGTAAAGGTTTCATTAAATAACCTTCTTTATATGTTTTGATCTGTGCACTGAATTGATGCATGGAGATCTGTATGCCAATTTAATGGATGTTGCCTTTAAGGTAACTCCTTGAAAAATATAATAGATGTTGAAGTCAGGGGATCTTAGAAGCTATGAGCAGTCACTGAATCAGAATATTATTAAGTGGTTAAAATTTTTTTATGTAGTAGCCATATGTTACTGTGTATTAAGAAGTTTCCAGTCAATCTGCTCTAATGGTACAACTAAAAAACTGAAAGAAACTGTCTTCTGTTAATCATGCAGATTCCTGTAGGTATGTCACATAGAGCTAGCAGATAGTCATCTATTGGATGTCATCTTCAAGGCATATAACCCTTTCTGTCTAGCACTTTCTCTCTATGTATATATAAAACTGCAAAATTAAACATAAAAAATACTTTTAAAATTCATCACATATTCAGTTCAGAATAAATCACATGCAAATGTCAAAATACCAAAAAACACAGTGGCAGACTACAAGTAATAGGGCAAAATATGCCAAAACCAAAAATGAAATATGACATTTACATCTTTTGATGCTGTATCATCATCAGGGGTTGGTGCAGCGAAAGAAGTAAATAAAACATCATTTTTCTGAAGTGAAAAGACACAAATTTTAAAATTTAAGAATTGTCTTAAAAAACAATAAAAATAATAAAGGTATTGTTTTTCTAAGACACCATTTATTGCTGCTGTCAACATGCAGTTTAAATTAAGTTTTGAACTTTTTTTAAACTTTGGATCTATTTAGTATATATATATATACACACACACACATATATCTATAATATATATTGTGGGGGTGCATATGTGTTTCACATACATAGTGGTAGGTTTCATTATTGGCATATTGGCAATAAAGCTACCTGCAAATATTAATAATGTATTTTTAGTATTTGGAAATGTAAATAACTTGTAAAATTTTTTTCATTATGTTACAAAGTTATGAATAAAAAAATTTTACATGCTAATAAATAACTGAATGGCATTAAAAGGAGAAGTCAAATTTGTATTATTCTAATATATTTTTTAAACAAGCCCTTCAAGGAAAATTGATGTCTTCAAAAATTCACAATTTTGACGTTAAATAGCTTGGTAAATTTTTATCATCAGTGTTTTGTGTTTTATGCTATAATGAGCATAACATTTTATTAACTGTTGGAACAAGGGTGCCATACAAAGATTTACATTTTATAATTTTTGTAACTTATGTTATAAATTTAACTTTTTTAATCTTAAAAATGAACAAAACATGAGTATCTGCCTCATTTAAGATGCTATATGAAATTTTAGTATTATTATTATTGCAGAATTTTCTTTACTACACTGCTTCTTTTTTCTATATGAAAATCTGTACAGAAAGACAGTTGAGCTATTACTGCATATTTTCTTAATGTATATATTAATTGGCACTTTACTAGATTTCAAATGGGTGGAAGGAGATGTTTCAGAAGTAGCACTACAAGTATTTAATCCATTGCCCTTTGAGCTAAAAGTGACCCATATGGTAAGTAAAGTTGTTAAATTTTTTCTTTTGTTTTCGATTGAATAGTTATTATCTTAGGAAGATGTGTTAGTGCTGCTTTTATTCATCCTTAGTTAAAAAAAAGTAACCACCAGGGAATAATAAGTAAGTTTTTTTCTACAGATTGGATGAAATTTACAGAATGAGTTAGTGCTTATGAAATATGTTAGATTTCAGCAGTATTGAAGAATTATGGCTTTTACATTTTGCGAGCCAAAAATATAAATAAATAATATTCATTGATAACATTTGTCTAACAGCATACCTGATGACCACAAGCACTTTTAGATTTCATAATGATGCATAACCCGTTCAGTACGGTCGTGTCATATATGCATCAGTAGCAAACGTTATCTCACGGCCGGGTGTGCCATATTTGAATCGCCGTTTACTCTATAGCCGGGCGTACCACATTTGACTTTTTAGATAGAACACTTAATTAGTATTTTTTATTGCCGCTAGATGTAGCTGTATGTCTGTTATGGTGAAATATATCGAAAGTTAAGTATGTTTACCTTCATTCCTACGCAATGTTTTTTTATTTTTGGAATTTTGTTTCGGAATGAGAGTGAGATTCGTGGGTGGGTGTTGAGCAATGTAATGTCTTTTTAACTGTGTCATTTGATATAAACAAATGCACGTGTTCTCGCTGCATTGAGGTACTTTTTATTTTTTTGATATAGTGAAATAGATGTTCTATCATTAGAGATTTTTTTATTACTCTTGGATTTTTCCTTTTTTTTATTACTCTTAGATTTTTCGGGCTTTGAGACTATTTTTTATCATCAGCGAAACACTTTTTTTTTTTTTAATGGCAAACAAAAGCAGTATTTAAATGTGGAATATACACAAATGCTAATTCGTTAGTGTTGAGTAATGTAATGGCTCTTACTGAATCATTTTATATAAACAAATGAACATGTTCTCGATGCTTTGAACACCTTTTAATTTAATTTATTAATTTTTATTTTTTTATCCATTATAGTGGAGTAGATGTTCTATCATTAGAGACTTTTTTTAATACTCTTTGAGTTTTCCGGCATTGAGATGAATGAATATTTTGTATCGCTTAGCAAAAGGTTTTTTCTTTTTTTTTTAATTGTAAAACGGAAATGCACTGTCCTGACCGTAGAACATATACAAATGCTAAATGAGTCAAATTTACTGAGTAAAATAGCAGCAGATATTATATTCCTGCGACTAATGCAACGCTGGACTTTGCGTATATCCATGTTTCAAAGAATATCATACACCATCTCATTTTGAAACACTGCTTACTTTTCGTTGTTTGCTCATGGTGAATTTTTAAGAAAGACAGTTTTAATATTTTTTAATTTTAATTGTGTGTTGTGTTAAATAAAATCTGCGATTGTTTGGATATTTTTCCATATATATATTTATTTGTGTGATAGGAAAAACTTATATTATTCTAGAATGATTATTTTATAAAATTTTTTAAGAAAATATAATAATAAAGCTTTAAAATTAATTTTGACAACTACCTTAATATTCTTCTCATAATGTACCAAAAATTGGAACAATTGGATGAAAAATTTAATTTATATGAATTTTTTCCCAAAGTTAGGCTTAGCAGTGCGAGTTGCCCATTCCCATAAGACGACACATACGGTTAATGCGCTGTCCCAAGACAACGCTCCGGTAACCGACATGCCCATCGTGAACGGGTTAATCACTCTGTTGATAAAGTTTTTAAGGAACTAAGTATTTTACAGAATGAGGTGTAAAAAAGGAGTGAGGAAAAATCGCATATTTTCCAAGTGGAAGCAATCTTATTAAGGTTCATGTAACTTGCCAGTACTATCCTTGATTTAATAATTTGTGATTGAACTATATATTGTTATTTTATTCTTGAGAGGCAGAAAAAGAAGTGGATAAATACGCACACTGGCCAATGAATTAGAAACCTTAGAGATTTTCATTTGAAAGCTTGCTAGAGATGAAGTATGTGAAGTAATGCATAAGAGTGCTTTTCACAATGAATGAAGTAAAATGGGAGAAATGATAGATCTTTCACTATTTAAAAAAGGGCTTATTGTTGGTGCCCGTTTAGCTGGGGCCTCGATTTTGAAGACAGCAAATCTCACTGGGTTCTCAAAAGCAGCCATAACAAAAGTTTTCAAAAGTTGACACAGATCGCCAACTAAAGCTCTACCTAACAGATTTCTGCTCAAACTGTGCAGATAGAATTGTAGAGGATAGGAATGCATAGTCGGATTTCTGCTCGAAATGCAAGAATTTGCAGTGGTGTCGGGAAAGAAGACAGTGGACATATCACCATTGGAAATGGGTAGCATGATCGGCTGAATCACACTACATAATATTTTGCACTGATGGAAGACGTTGAATTTAGCGAGAACCCCATGAAGCCATGAATCCATCTTGCCTTACTCGCACTGTACAAGAGTCTTGTGGGGAGTATCATGATGTGGGGCACGTTCTGCTGGCATGGAAGTGGTGCCCTGGTGCTCGTTTGATAGTAAACAAAGAGCCATGAGATACCTAGATATACTGGCAGATCAAGTGCCACCTGCAGTTTTGCATTTTTACCCTGATAGCAACGGATACTTCATGGATGATAATGCAACTATATGTTGTGCCAGAAGTAGGTTTACCATGCGTCCTGTTTTATCCTGGGCAGTCCTGGTTTTTTACTGTTGTTTGGGGTAATGTCCGGGGTTTGAGAAGTTTATGTGTGGTGAGTTTTTTTTTAATTTTAAACCTATATGTTATTTTCGTGTGTGATTCTTGTTTTGTCTCATCATAACAATGGGCAAAAGAAAATGTGTTTTTAATGTTTACCTCCAACAGGAATATAAATTTTTCCAATTATGTAATGACAATTAATAATGAACGTGTTTATTGCACACTATGTACTGGAGAATTTTCTGTGGGACATATAAGAAAGGGCGATATTGAAGACCATGTGAAAACAGCTAAACATAGGAGGAATTCAGTTAATGCTACTACTTTAGCAAACATAAGAGATTTTTGAGTATGCTGCTAAAGAAGCTTCATTTCCGTACCACACTACTAGACACGAACTCGGTTTCAAAATCTCAGACTGGACATCTAAACTGAATAAAAAGTTATATGACCCAAAATTTTCATCTGCTAGAACAAAAACAGAGGCAATTATTGTCAAAGTTATTACGCCATTTATATTTGATAATGTATTGTGTTCTTTGGAAAATGTTAGTTATGTAACAGTAACAATGGATAGCTCAAACAGAAGTGAAGTAAAATTTGTTCCAATTGTTGTAAGATATTTCAACCTGCAGGAGGGTATTCAAGTTAAGCTTTTAAATTTTGATGAAGTGTCAGGTGAAACTGCTCAAATTTTGATTCAGTATCTTTTGCAGTGCTTGAAAAAATATAAACTTGAAGAAAAGGTGGTTTGTTATAATGCCGTTAACACTAACAGTAATTTTGGTGGTGTGAAGAGAAAGGGAAATGAAAATGTGTTTAGAAATGTTCAAAATGATTTAGATAAACTTATTTTAGGAATTGGTTGTTCAGCCCACATTGTAGATAATTCAGCACAAACAGCATGTAATTCTCTACCCCTGATGATGATCATGATAGAAGTTATTGTTATAAAAATTTATAAATATTTTCTCATATATACAGTTAAGAGTAACAATACTTAAGAGTTCTGTGAATTTGTAGAAACAGATTACAAAAAAAGTATTATCGCATAGCAGTACAAGGTTTCTTAGTTTGTTACCTGCAATAGCTAGAATTCTTTCAATTTTTGATGGCCTAAAATCATACTTCCTATCTTGTGACAAATGCCCAAAACTATTAGATTTAAAAAAAACTAGAAAATGAACTGTATTTGAAATTTTTATTTGGTACTCTACAGTTATTTAATAATATAGTTCTGAAACTGGAAGCTAAATCTATGACAGTATTTCAGACATATTTTGAATTAATTTATCAACTCCAGGAAAGAAAAATCCCACAAATTTATACCATCTTCTGCCAAAGAATTGCTACACATTTTAAAAGAAAAGAATGATGTTCAAGAACAAAAATTCTCAAGCATAGGCAATTTTTATAATTCTAGTATTCAATACTTAAGAGTTGTGGAGAACCAGTTTTGATAAAATTAATAAACTTCAATGGATAAATTTCCGAACTGAACTTGCCTGGTCTGATTTAGAAGAGAGTGCACAGGTTGTTGATGAAATTATAAAAGATTCCATAAATATTGAAGTCTTATTTGATGAATGTTGTTGAACCATATAATTCAAAACCAAAGGGTAGGTTGCAGATCAGATTCTGAAAAAGTATCAGATACTATTGAAGAGAAGTGGAAAGCAATTTTTAAAATGTTTCCAAAGATTTATATTTCAAGTTGCAATATTTTTTAAATGGCTGAGTTTGCAATGTCTTTGCCTGGGACATCTGCTTCAGTTGAGAGAGTTTTTTCAATTATGGGGAACATCTGGCCTGCAGAAAGGGGTAGGCTTTCAGTATGTACTGTTAAACATCTGCTAAATGTTAAAATTAATTCAGAATGTCCTTGTTGTGACTTTTATGATGTAATTAAAACAAACCAACCATTTCTGGAAAAAGTCCACGTCTAGTGAAAAATACGACTGAATAAATAAAATTTAATGTTTCAGTAAACTGTTAAGACTTTTAAATGATTTCAAATATATCTTCTGGGTTATATGTCCTCAGTTAGTGGTTCCAACCCTGAAAAATATGGTAAGCCTACCTCAAAGTTCAAAATTGTTCAAAATTGCTTCACTGAACATCAGTCTGACTTCCAACAGCTTCTCTGGCCACCGCATAGCTCGGATCTTAACGCCATAGAAATGTGTGGGATATGGTGGAAAGACACATCCGACAGCATTCTCCTTTTCCATTTAATTTACAAGATCTAAAAAGTTGCACAGCCAATGCATGATATTCTCTGAATGCACTCCAGAAGCATGTAGACTCGGTGCCCAAATGAATCTGAGTTGTTATCCATGCAATAGGTAGTCCAATAAAATATTGATCTTTGCTTTCTGAATCATTGGCCAGTGTGTGTATGTATGTTCCTTTGTTAATTAGATTTTAATGGCAGTTGATTTTTAAAAACATTTTTTTAATTGTGTTAGTGAGTTAATTTATGTTTTGTTTAATTATACATTCTCAAAAATGTATACCCATTTTTGAGAATGTATAATTAAATAAAACATTAAAAATTAACTTGCTAACACACTAATTAAAATTTTTAAAAAATTCATATTTTTGTGATAATTTCAGTTTTTAAAAGGCTGACAATGAGAAATGTTATGATATTAATAAATTTAGATGTAGATTCATCAGAGTTGTTTAATGAGCAATATGTTAAGCAATATTTATATTTGATATAATTTTCCAGCTGTAGGGAACTTCATTAATTTTGACATGGCCTAAGAAAACATAGCATGCAAATTGATTTGAGAAAGGAGTATTCCGTTTTATTGCTGTTACTCTTTTGATATCTTCAAGTAACTGCTAATCAAATGCATCATTTACATCACGTTCTTTAAGATTTTTTTTCACATTTATTGATTTGAATGTTTTAAAAATATAAGCAATTTATACTATTAAAAATTTTTTGAATATAAATGTAAACATAAGGTTTCATTTCTTTTTATATGTAAGGGAAAACATTTAATAGTTTTCTCATTAACAATATTAAATCTTTTTTTTATATATATATATATATCTAAGGAAAACATTTAAAAGCTTTCTCATGAACAAAAGAGGAATTCACTTGTTTATACAATCAAATACCGAAAATCTGCCGACCTAAACTCCTGTTGCCTCTCAAAATATAAACATTCAGTTTAAAGGTTCTGGAAACCGCAACATTGAGTATAAAATATCGAGGAAGAAATACTTACCAAATTATGCCGTCATAATTACTGAATAATAACGAGTCATAACCGAAATACCAAATTATTGACATCATGATCAAAGTTTTCCCCCCTCTAATCTGCATCGAGGGAAAAAAGGCAGACGATTCACTCAACTCTTCTTTCAAGTTCATGATTTTGTTGTATTTTCTGAGCTTTGTTAATTCACGAGATTATTTAGGGCTGCCTTTTTTTATCCGGATATTTTGTGGATAAATTAAGAATATTTTAAATTTCAGCCCCTTTTAATGCAATTAGATAAGAAACACACTCATGATTTTACTGCTTGCAACGTTGAAAAACGTTGTAAACACGTTGCATTGACGGTAATGCAAGAAGTGCAAAAGATGGAGACAGGTGCTAGTCCTCGGTTTATAGCAGAATCGTATGGAATTACGATACGATTGTGTATGATATACAGAAAAATAAAGAAAAGCTGTTGAAATTTTACAGCAACAGTGATTCTAACACAGGAATCCGAAACTGGAAATCTTTGCATGAGGCAAAATCGGCAAACCTCGATTCTGTGTATATGTTACGGTGAAACACCGAAATCTGGAGAATGTCGACTTTCACCGGTGAATGTCAACATTCACATAGTTTCTTGGTGTATGTCTGAAATATTTTCCAAATACTCTTATTTCTGACTTACACCGGTCAATGTCGACATTCACCATGTACTAATGGTGAATGTTGAACATATAACAATATTATATTTTCTTCTCCGTAATTCAGTCATGAATAAACCAACTTGAGACTTGAAATAAGAACTTAAGAACATGAGATCCTAAGACACACATATACATTCAAAATGAGAAAGGAAAATAATAGAAGTTAAAAACTTACTTAACTATACAGTACGTTCTAAATGAGAAAATAAAATAACAGTAATAAAAAACTTACTAAATTATGTGATTCAAATCTTATTTATTGCAACAACTTAAACTATTATGGCACTTTATGACCTCTCTTTTCGACTTTCACCAGAGCATATCTGTGATTGTCGACAGACACCGGTGAGTTTCCAAATATACAAGAATGTAGTGAAATATTCGGTCTTTCACCGGCGTATTTGGTGAATGTTGATATTCTCCGGTGAAAGTCGACATTCTACAATTTCGGTCTTTCACAGTAACATATATATAATACAATGAATAACATAATCAATTCATATAAGTAATAATAATTTAATGCATATGATAAGTTATTGCAATAATGTATATAATAATTTAATTTAATGTATCTAATGTACCTTATTTGTTTTGCTCTGTAAGTCTGAATATTATGATTTATCTTTTCTGCCATGAAATCCGCAAAATCCTATAATCCACACAACCTCTGGTCTTAAGCTTTGCAGATTTCTGGATTTCTATTGTATTATTATCTAAAATTCTTGGAGGTTTTTAATTAGTTTTTAACATGTATTTTTTTCTCATATTAATTTTCATGTTGAATTTTTTATGAACCATGGAAAAATTTTTCCCTTTATCATTAATAGGAGTTTTTTTAATTAATATAGGGTCTTCAGGCAGATAATATTCCTTTTGAAAGCTTTCCAGCTTGTCTATCTTTGCCTGCAGAATCTGGCCCTTATCCTGTTAATTTGTTAGGTACACCTTTAAGTGCTGGTGAACTCCAAATTTTAGGTAAAAATTTTTGTTACTTTTATTATCAAATTATTAGTTTTCAGTAGCCTTTTTCTGAAAAATACTTCTCCATGATAAAATATTCGTTACTTACGTACTATGACGATTACCTTAGTAACATTTGCCGATAAAAATCTTCATTGCCGTTATTTGGTTTATATTTATAAATTCTTTTAAAAATAAAAGCCCTAATTAAAAGAGAACAGAAACTTACAAACTTAAAAATTCCCAAATATATATATATATATACACTGGTGTGCAAAAATTAAAGACGAGACGGTTTTTTCAATATAACTTTGTACAAAAGCTTTCCAAATCAACACATTTAATACCGTAAGATCACCAATACGTAAGGACATGAGTAATGTAAGCAACACTTACTAAAAGAGAAATCAGAGGGTTAAAAAGAAGCTTTATTGAAAAAGTAGCATGGAGCGCAATTCGACTGAAGGCCGAAACATCCCTGTGATGGGTGTCCAGCGAGAAACATCCGGTCTTTAATAGGGGATATGATCTCCCCTGACTGCTAGGCAGGTTTCACAGCGTCTGCCCATGCTGAGAATGAGGGTGTCAATGAGTTGTTGAGGTACTTGCTGCCCATTCGTCTTGCAAGCCAATCGAAGCTCCGGAATCGTTACTGGTGATAAGGTACGAGCTGCCAAGCGTCTGCCTATAAAATCCCATACATGCTCGATGGGATTGAGATCCGGAGATCGTGCCGGCCAATCCATACGTTCAATATCCTCACTCTCTAAGAGCTGTTCGGCAGCTACTGTGCGATGACATGGTGCATTGTCGTCCATGAAAAGGAACTGCGGACCCATAGTGGTCTAAAAAGACGCACATATGGAAGAAGAATCTCATTACAATAACGGGTCCCGTTGACTGAACCTGCATCGAAGATGTGAAGGTCTGTACGACTACCAAGCATTATGCCTCCCCAAACGAAAACACCGCCACCTCCATACCTGTCCCTTTCAATGATGTTCGAGGGATGATTGCGGCTTCTCTCCAGATGAGTATGCGATGAGAATCGCTACTCAGACTGAATCTGCTCTCATCTGTATAGAGTACTCATCCTCATTCATTGTCTCTCCAATTCCGGTGTTCCCGGCACCACAGAGAACGCCTTCTCCGATGGGCAGACATTAGAGGTACACACCGTACAGGGCATCGTGCAAAGAGACCACCACCATGCAGTCTTCTGGCCACTGTAAAACGTGATATCGGTCGTCCAGTCGCCTGTGTCGTGTGTCTAGAGATTTCTCCCGCTGTCTGCCTCCTGTTTCTTCTGGCCTGTAAGGCAATATACCGGTCATCTGCGGGTGTGGTTCCTCGTGGACGACCACTACTAACCCCCCGGATAGCTGTTCTTGTAGTTTGAAATTGTCTCCAAAGTCGTGAAACGATGCTGTGAGCAATACCGAACTCTGCACCTGTACTTGTCACACTGCGACCTTCTTCCAACTTCCCAATGATTCGACCTCGGGTAAAAGCATCCAGATGTCGTCTAACAGATTGATTATTCGCCATTTCTCGCTTAGGCACAACTCGATGTGATTTTAACTGCTATACGGCGTGCAATCTCTTTGCCAGAAATACTGATCTTACACCGACAACATGCTTTATACTACTCAGACACTCCCCCATTACGTCTACCTGCATATCTGCGCATGTGCTACCGTACATCACCTTACTTAATCTCCTGATTGGTCTTTCTGTCTGCTCTGCCTCTTCGTTCAGCTAATGTGCTAATTTTTCGACTTCGTCCTTAATTTTTGCACACCAGTGTATATATATACATATTATAAATAAACACATATATAAACTATATACTAAATACGGATTAAAAAAATTAACTTACTTAAAACTAGTTAAAGAAAACGTTGAAGTTAATGGTGAGGAAAGTAGCTGGAAATAGCTTTCAAAAAAGCATTGAAAGGTGTTTCCTGTTTTTTCGTCAAATAAATTCAGCTAAATAGGTATCCAAATGATGGTGGCTTGTTCTACATTGTGGCTTGTTCCTCCATTTTGTGGAACTCCACATCCTTTCAACGTGTTGAGTATGAGTGTGCGTAGATGGGTCAACAAAATTGTATCAATGATTCATTTTAAAATGTTAATCAAACAGATATGACTCTTTGATATCCAGGCCACAAATCTGAAATTATTGTTTAGCCTTCAGCAATATTATTTTGGATTTCATGCATTAATGTTGTTGCCTTCCTGTCTGGAACTCTGACTAGAAATGTTTCTTCTGTGTCCCAGCAAATTCCACCAAAGACCCACTGTTGTGCCAAGATATGACCTTGATTATTCTTTCGACATGTAAAATGGCTTTCATGAATTTCGACAATCATTCCAGGCTCTCCAATTTAAATATTTTGATTATCCTCCAACTAGTTCACACACACTTCACGCATATAATTATTCTAATCAATAACAGTCTTATCGGATAAATCCAACTGATGTTTGCACCATTTAATGGACGACTTTTCATATGCCCCAAAGTAAATAAATATTAAGGCTTTTAAAAATTGAATATGACTGTTTTCAAGCCTCGTACTAGTTCAGACACCAAACTTTTGTTGACAATGCACCTCCAATAAAATCCTGAATCTTGGCGTATTCATATCTTGGCCATTTTTACAAACACATTCTTTGGGTAAAATTCCAGCCTCTCTGAAAAATTCTTTTGCCGCTTCTTCATTTGAAGGAAGTTGGAAAATGTTGATATCCATTGGGAAAACTATAATCACAAGAAGTTTCACGGGCTTGACCTAAACGTAATAATCTGTATAAGTGTGTGGTAGTAGCTAATGCGGGATAATACTCTTTATTTTAGTGCTCTCTATAACCTATGTTAGGGTTAACCTGCATAGCCTATGGGGGTTGCCAGTTTTGGGGAGATATCTAAGTAGTCGTCATAGTACATAAGTACCAAATATTATAATTTTTTGCAATTCTAAGTTGTTGGTATATTTCATGATTTAAAATTTGCTATGAGGCAAAAACTGCACAACATCCTGAAAGTTAAACATGTGCTGTACATGTAGCATGAGTATTGTGCTTGTGTTATCTTCAAAATAATAGATATCTTGCTGTTTGTTCATGTGTGACTCTTTCAAACTTAAGGAGAAAAATTAGTTAAAAAAAAAGATTGCGATATAGAATTGAAGGAATAAAACTTAATAACTAATTGGCAAACTTTTTAAAATGGTCTTTGCTAGATAGACCTATATGAGTTTTGCCATGCCTCATGTAAAAGTATATGAACCCATTTTGAAAACTAGTGCCAATTCCTGAGACAAGAAAGACTAATAATTTGATGATGATTTTGTAAGGAATGAAAACCTTTTACTGGTGCATATGGATAAGAACATTGAAAAAGAACTACATAGATTACATTATTGTAGCTTAGTTTTTTTTTTTTTTTTTTTAAATTGTTTTAACTCAACAGCATGTGCATGTAAATGGGGTTAACTCTTAAAGCTTTTGTGTACTATCATCCAAAGTTAAACACATTTGAAGACTTATAGATAATTAATGTAGGTTATCAAAATTTTAATGTTTTATTACATCCAGGAAAATTACTCACAAACTTAAGCTTGCTAATTGAGTATTACATTTTCCATCATAAAATTACAGTTTTGATTAAATATATTTTGTTTGTTGGATTTTTGATCTGACTATTTGTTTCAGCATCAAACAGTTCCACATTTCTTATATTTTGCTGAAAACTTTGAATTCAATTTTTGTCATCACCCATGCCTTTATGTTCTCTCAAATGGAAAAATACATTTTGTAACTGACCTTTTAATTGACTTGTGTAGTACTAACATTCTAAGTAAACTGTGGCAGGTCTACCCAACACCATTATGCAAATAGAACTTTGTTTATATCTTTATTTACACGTAGATGTTTATGTGTAACATACAGAATTTATGAACATAATTATTAACCATGCATGTTTTGTTTGCTGAGCTGTACTGTAATTAATGAAATGCATTGCAGATGAAATTTGCATCTATTTGTGTATTTAGTTAATGATAGAAAGTACTATATTATATCAAAATGTCACATATCATCATATATTTATTAGGTTATGCAACTCATGTCTTGGGAGTGAAAAGCAATTGCCGTTTGAGAGACATTCCATCTCTAAGAAAACAGTACTTTTCTATTGATGTTATACCTCGGTTACCGCAGATACAAGTTACAACTTCTCTTCCTAAAGCTTCCATGTTTTCCTCTCTTGGTGATACAAGTTACGTAGTTGTGAGCTCTGCAGTCACAATGTATGCTGGAGAAAGGTATTGATATTTTTAATTGGATAATTATTTAGCAATGGAGAATGAATTGCTTCCAAGAAAATGTGTAAGAGAACAGAAACAATTAGATTTATACTGATAAACAGTTTTTAAAAAGTGAATCCGTTATGCAATAGTTTTTAATTGCTAAAATTTGCCAAATTTATTTCTGAATATTGAAAGCAATGCAGGTATTGAGTTGTGTTTTGCCAAATCAGAACTTTTGTGCTTGTATGCATTATTAACATTGCTAACTTTAACATCCTTCTCCCTTTTCCCCTTGTTGCCCACCAGGAGCCTATGGCAAAATTGCTGAACATTGGTAGTACGGTCTGGGGTTGGAATCTTGGGGAACGGGCTGGCTACATACACTTACGAAAGTCTGCATATAGATGATCAACTTCCATGTTCATACAACAATCACTAAAGAAATGGAGTCTTTCTTAATCAATACAACTTTTATTGATTCCTCTAATGTCTTGAATTCAAATAGTACGAATAAAAGTTACTTGATCATTATGTAAAATAATACAAGTATTCATCACTTAAAAACGACACAAATCATGTGTCTCAAAAGTCCACTTACACTGGAAAAAAGGCCTTTGCCATAATGCATTGTATCTAAAGGTCTATGCCTTGTAGGGTATCTCCTTGTTTTTACAATCTCTTTTGACCTATATGGCCTGGATTCATCTAGCTTAAATGTCTCTTCTATGGTTATTTTGTTCCATTTTTCTACCATGACATAATTTGGAATTTCTTTGGATGTTATTACATGCTGCCTGATTCTCTGCTCAAGTGAATCCCACAGATGCTATAATGGGTTTAGGTCTTGGAACTGGGATGGTGTTCCGAGTTAGTTAGGCACATTGTAGAACAGCCATAACCCCGCAATGTATGCCGTTTGCTTGGTTGTTGTCCTACTGAAAGTAAAAAACATCACTCACTCCTAGCTTCTCCACTTACACTCAAGTTTTCTCTTCATTATGTCTAGTTAATCAATTTTGTTCATTTTTGAATTAATAAACTCCAGATTATCAACCTCACTGCGTCCCATACACCCCTGCCTCCTTATCCATGCTTGACTGTCGGAAAATATCCTCTTTCTTTAGCTCTGTAGATGGATTCCCCTAGACATATTTTTATCCCTTGATGCTGAAAATACAAAATTTGCTTTCATCTGAATATATTATCGTTTTCCAAAATTTATGTCTTATTAAGGTGTTCTTTGGTAAAGACCATTTTCTTAGCTCTGTTCACTCAAGAGATGGTTTCTTCTGTGCAACTCAACATTCATGCGTTTTCAGTTCTCTTCGAATTGTGGTTAAATTCGCATTTTTTTGGAATCTCTCAGCAATACTTTTAGCTATTTGTGAAGCTGATAGTCTTGGATTTATTTTTATAAAGTGTATTGCAAAGCAGGATTCTTGAGGCAAAAGTGCAAATAGGCAGCTAGATCTTGGCTTGGACGTTGAAAGTTTTGTATGATCACTTTTTGAATCGATGAATGTCTCCTATTAACAATTTCAGCAATTGCTCTAAGACCCCCCTTTTCCAAAGATCTATGATGATTTTTCAGTAGTATCGATTTCTTTTCCGTTACATGCCATGGAATCACACAAGCTTTCAAAATCTCATATCCTATATAAAACATGTAGAAGCTTACAGTTACTTAAAATAAAATTAAATTTAAAAAGAATGCGACTCGATGCAATTACTATCTCACACTGACTTATGGCAGGGGTGATTGGTGATTGCTTGGTGGTCATTCTCGTTTTTCATGTTAAGTTTTTTTTTTTTTTTTTTTTTTTTTTTTTTTTGTTTTTTTTTTTTTTTTTTTTTTTTTTTTTTTTTTTTTTTTTTTTTTTTTTTTTTTTTTTTTTTTTTGTTTTTTTTTTTTTTTTTTTTTTTTAAGCTTGAAGAATCATTGTCAAGTATGTTGCTTTTTTCAAATGAGATTGCAATATTAATTTTAACATGAACACGTAAGATTACTGCCTGCATGCAGTTAAGTAATGGTAAGTGGTCCCATAGTTTTCCCCCCCACCAGCGGCCAAGCGGAAAAGTTGCTGAACACTGGTAGTTTGGTCCAAGGTTCAAATCCCGCGAACGGGCTGGATGCATGGGTGTTTTCGTGGTTTTCCCCATGTGTAACGTGTATACAAGCCAGTTTCCCTTAGAAAGTCCTCACCTTAGCAATAGTCCTAGTGTGCATTGTCGTAATCTCAATAAACCAAACCAAACCAACCATAGTTTTCCTTGTGTTACAAATACAAACCAGTTTTCCCTAGAAAGTCCTTTACAAAGACATACTTCTCTTAGCCAGATATCCCTCGAGTGCATTGCTGTAATTAAATAAACTGAACCAAATGGACCCTTTTCTCCTGTAAAGAGATTTCTTTTTTTTAGCTACAAAAGTAATTTTTCGATATTTCGCTCTCCTCCCATTCAATGTTCTATGAAAGCCCAATTCTGAGCAAGGACATCCTAGGTAACATATTTGTAGAGTTATTGCTACAGTTAAAGAAAATGCTAAGAAGCACTGCAAAATTAGTCTGTGAATTAATGGATACGTTATATAAACTAAGCATGACTTTTGTAGGATGTAAATGTGTTTTTTTTCAAATTGTAATATTAAATGTATTTAAGCATAATGCGTTAATTGGCTTGAAATGTTGTAGTTATATCAGTGTTTTAACATGCATGCTCTATTGTTAAAATTTGATAACTTGTTTCTCATTTTATAAGCAATTAACTATTAGTTGCATTTAAGGTCATTTATAAGCATGACACAATAGCATACGTTCATATGAATAAAGTTACTTATTTTCTGTAAATATTAAATATGGTTGTGTACATTAGTACTGTCTTTCAAATTCTTTGAAAATGCAAAAATTTGTGTTGTGTATAATGTTTCTTTAAAAAAAATGTATTTTATTATAAGTTACCATTATCACTTAGGTAGTAATGTCAGAGATTGAATATACTGTTAAAAATTTGCTGATTTCTCTGTTGTACCTGATTGAAATGTATTATAGTTGCTGAATTGTGTGTCATTTTGTGTGTGTGTGTGTTCCACGGTGAAATGTTTTTTATGTTACTGTTATATGATACTTTAATATATTCCTGCGCTAACATTATTACAATTTTGTATGATATAAAACAGTAAGATGAATTAATCCTTCAATTAGCATGTTTGTTTTCTTCTATTAAGTATAGAAAAGTATCTCAGAGATACACTTTGCTGGCTGAAGATAAATTAAACAGCTGTAAATTAATGATGAGCATGATGCATGAGCAGAAAAAAGGTTCACCGTTCATTCTTTCATAAACTGCGTAAACAACATTTTTGTTATTATTGCTTATAATAAATGTGCCAAATTTCAGTATGCGTGAAAATGTAATTTCATGTATATCTTTAGGAAATTCTGAATAAAAAGCTAACTTTTTGCAGGTATGCCTACAAATATATCTACTTACCCTTTCTGGATGGGCGTCCCATATACACATTCTTTAAGAACATCTCTTAAGCCAGGTGTCCCATCCACACATCACTAGAGATTGCGTTCAGAGGACGGGCGATGCATATATGCATTTTAAGCTGGAACGTTTTTCTGAAGACCACTAGATGGCATCCTATACACATTACTTTTGAAACGAACACAGTTTAAGGTTCCTGACCTTGAGTTTGATATATTCTACCTGACTTTGGTATTTTACTCATAAATTGCCATGAGGGTGGGGGAGGGAGAAAACGTAAGCAGAGTTGGCTCTTTAAATCGCCACATGCTGATGTGAACGTTCGTGTGTGTGGTTTATATTCCATTCTTTATTTTATTCTACTTTTTCCCTATACTATGTACGGTCTTTTAGAGTTACTATGGTGGAACTGTGTTATGTTTTGCATTGCCTTCAGATATATTTGGTGTCCTTCTCTTTTTATTTCAGAAAGCCTCACCTCCACTATATTATGGCGTCAAGGCACTAATTATCAGAGGAAGAATACATTCGTATGGTTAATGAACCATTTACTAACATAGATGAGAGTGATGATCCATTTTCTAAAGAGTTAGAAAATGATACTTTTTCTAAGCGTTAGAAAGTGATATTTCTCTGTGCTTCAAGATTTACCACAGTCTTCATTTTAAATTTTATTACTTCTTACTGTAAATAGTCTTTATTGTGTTGTTTTATTGATTTTAAACTTTATTGGTGGATTTTATCAATTAAAACTTTGGAATAATTTGAATAGCGCTACCGTTAATTATTTTACAAGATAAGCAATTTTTAAATATATTTTCATGTAAAATAAAGCAAAAAAGGTTATTAAATGCTAATTTTAACATATATAAGAGGTAAGGTAATAATCTAAAATGATACCAAAAATTACGATACTAGAAGTGAAATTTTTTTATATATATAAAATTAGCCTTAGTGATGCAAAACCCCCGTCCTGTACGGTGACTGCCTTCGATTCACTTCCGTCACACACGAGCATCTTAAACAAAAGTGCGGCGTCACAAAAGGGTTAAGATGGTGTTAAGAATTTCATAGGTTGTAATAACAAAAATTTCGAAAAATTAAAAAAAATATTTTAAAAATAGATCGTAAAAAATGTGTAAATTATATTCAGATTAAGCCTAAATTTTGAATTCTGGAAGAAGGAATCAAGTAAGTTTAATGACAAACAAGATGTTAATAAATATATATGAAATGTAATTAACATTAAGGAACTAAAATTTTGGGAGCTAATTTTTTAAACTACAGGTGCGATTTTTACAAAACTTGGCAGTTTGTCATAATATGAGTCATAGAATCGAAATATAGGAAAAAGGGCATGTCAGAAAATGTCCGATTTTGTGTCAAAATACCTATATCAGAACAATGCTGTATATAAATCTAATTCATATTCTGAGTCGTGCTTTCGATATATGAAAAACACAAGTTGAATTTCTTCAATTGGCTCAGTAGAACGAGAGATATTGAACTGTGCCCCCTTATTTTTTGTGCAGTGTATGTCCATCTTAAAATTTTTGCAGACCATTCAATACAGAACTCTTACAAAGTGGTGTGGGCATTCTGGAATTGTAATCAAGAAAACGCCTTGTTTTTATAAGATTTTGTGGTCAATCTTGTCGACTGTTGGAGGCTTAGTGAGGCCGTCTGTAATGATAAGTCTAAATTGACATAAAGAATTAATGATGCATGCAAAAAGGCAGTAAAGGCTCACAAGCATGTATGCAAAGGAAATTACAATGTTAAACTTTTTGTCTGCCCTTAGATAGAATCTTGTAAAACATTACTAAAGATAATAAATGGGAACAAAGTGGCTGCAACAAAATTACAGAGGGTAAAGATCTATTATTTAAAAACTACAAAATGTAGTTATGCCAGTTTTTGTCTGAATAATGAAGCTTTATTTGCAAGGTTTTCAAACACTTTGCCATTTTCAGTTTTAGTGTAATGATTTAATGGTTCTCATAACTGACTATATAGTTTTAACAACCTAGTAGTTATTTATTTTAATTTCTTAAAATTAAATTAAATTAATTAAGTTAAATTTAGGCAACCTTCTTAGCTATATTTTAGGAAGGAAACAGGAAGTGAATGCAATGAGTAGAACTGGGACTATATTGGGGCTTTCCAGTACTCTTTTCTACTTGTGCCAAGAGAATGGGCCAAAAAATTTGTGTATTTCTATATAGTGAAGGTAATTGGAGTATGTGATAAAGTTGATCTTGAGCTACCAGCCATCTTTCATTGGATTTCACTCAGTAGAACTAATATGAAGCATCTTTTTATAGTTGTTCCTAATTTTTCCACCCAGTGTGCATTAGCTAGTTTGCATCTGAGTGGGAGTTGATGAAAATAGAAATGATAGTAAAGGTTAAATAATAAGCTAGGTTGATGAATTGACAGAAAACCCTACAAAACTACTGTTGTTGAGTTGTTCTGCATTCTATTATACATCTGAAACAGAAATTTAGAACACAATCTTTATGCAGACTTTGGGGGTTGTGTAAGCACAAAATTAATCCAATAAACATCAGGTTTTTGTATTAAATTTATTCCTTTGGTTCAGTTAGATTTGTATAGTGAATACATTTTCTTTTGAAGCTGTGTCCGTGAACAATATGATTTTAAAGTATTAGAAAAAGTGGTTGCTTGATTCATATCTGGTCAAGTATATGTAGTTTTCTCTGCAAAGCCTATTTAGAAGGGGGATGAACTGCTATATGCTGACTGGTTATTCATGAATGATAAACTTAGAATTGGCATTAGTGACAGGGCTTTTTTTTTTTTTTTTTTATCATCCTTAATAAACACTTCAGTTTCGGAAAGATGTATGGTTGTTAGATTTCACATACCCTGATAGCTAAGGAGAATGCTGGCTGTGTTTAGCACACACTCATCATCTGAGAAAGATTCTGATAATGTCAACTTTTTTTTTTTTTTTTTAATTGTGGGTATTTTGTTGTTAGAGATAAAGGCTTCTGCCACTCTGTAGCCCTAAATCTCATCAAGACAACATGTTATGGATGTATCTTGAATAACCTTCATTAAAAAGGATTCAAGAAAGTGCTGACATTCTTTACTGTGGGTATTTTCTAATTTACTTCCAGATGTATTGCATGATAATAAATATAGCTTAGTAGGCATGTTTTCTGATTAGCAAATATTTAAGCCCATCAAAAAGTATGCAGATCTGTACCCAGAAGTGTCACCAGTCTTCATCCCCTCTTTTGAAGAAAAACTGGCGGATCATTTTGACAGTAGTGAAGAAATTATGATTATCCATTTTATTTAAAGAAGAGAGAAGAGGTGCTAGTGATCCAAAAATCAGTATATGCTGTAAAAGTTTGTGTTTCAATGAATTAGCTATGCTTAGTTGCCTATGAAGTTAATACAGAAATGCCTAAATCACTGGAATGTACCTTTTTTAAAGTCCTTACACATTAACTGCTAACAAAACTTTAGTTGGCACGAAGGTACTATGGTAATTTCCAGTAATGTCTGCCCTCCTGTTGCTACTTTGACTGCTTGAACCTGTCATTAAAGTAGTCAACCAGTCATTAAAAAAGACTATCACAACACAGCCGATGTTCTGCAGTGTACTGCATATAACTGAAATTTTCTTGTTGGACAAATTAAATGGAGACAATTAAGGTAACACGCATGTGCAAAATTTTATCATGTATTACTTGTTTTTTTATTTCTTAGTAGATCTTAAATATTGAAAAATACAGGCACTGTAAAATTGAGAACAGAAAATTAGTTTTAAGAAAGTCAAGTCATATTATAATAGTTGTGCAGTTTACTTAAAATGATACAAGGCATCAACATCAGTCAAAAATTTTGCCAAGAAATGGATATGGAGTATAAAACTCATAAATTAGAACAATTTTCTTCAAAAAATTGGTGTTACTGAAATGGGAGAGAGTAGAATCTTATTTAAATATTTCCAATTTCCTTAATAAATTACCTTAGTAGCAAGGAAAGCTCTTGGCAGTGGTTAATACATAAGTACTTTTTTATTGCAGTTACATCTGGTGGTGACGCTTCATTCATTACAAAAATAGCGCATAATGTGACAGCTTTAATTATTGCATACAGCTAAAAGAGTAGCTTACACATATGGACAGCAGAAATAGCATATTGTTAGTATATCTGATACATGCAAATTGATAACTATTTTAAAACTGTATGTAGCATTTAGTGATCTGCGCGTGCCCAAGACTTCAGCTTATCTTATAACTGTAAATTTCAGGATTTAAGGTTTAAGTGTATGGATGGTTGTTTCTGTTAAAACTGGCAGTTTCTCACTCTGTGCTCTCAGATGTTGAGAGTTGTTTATAAAAGTAACATAAAAAGATGTTACGTCTTGCATAAATGTCTATAAATTCGTGAAAAATATTGTTACCAAACAGCTTTGCATAAAAGAACTAATGACAGCCATAGTTCAGTAGCCAAGTGATGTATTCAATATTCCAAAAAAAGACACCCTTTTGTGGGTAAAAGTGCAACGAAAAAATTTCATAAAAATTTTAATAACCTCATTGTTTTGTGCATTTGTGTGCAAATTGTATTACCATATATTATAAATTCACTTAAATTTTCTTTTAAAAATCGCTAATATTTGCATCACACCTGTACAATATGAACTGGTTCAGATTTTTTATGTTAGTAGAAAACAACTAAAAGGCTTAAGATTCACATTAATTTGATTTTCATTTTAATAGAGCAGTTTTTCTTTTAGTCAAGCAGGTCCTTCACAAATAACTGTCAGTCTGTCCATATGCAAGAAGTGGTTATGATGATTGTATAATTCATTAAAAGTACTAATGTAATTTTTTTAAATGCATTTTTTACTATTTCTGCTCTTTTACACATTTTAATTTATTTAATTAACTTGCACATTGATGTATACTTCTGCAACCATTTTTGTTTCATGTATTTTTAGCCAAGAATGCACTGTCACTCTGACAAATATTGGGAAAGATCTTGTTGAAAGAGTTGACATAAGTTTACATTCTAAATTAAACAAAGGCAAGTATGGTTGTTTCTTGTAACTTATTTCCTTTGTAATTTTTATAACTGCAAGTAGTTTTTTTCATGGATAATTTATGTGAAGTGTTTTCTTCCAGAAAAAGAATCATCATTTTTTACTTGGAGCAAAGAAAATCTCGACACACAGTTGCCTATTGGGGTTGGAAATGCTGCAAGTTTCACTCTCTACATAAATGCTATTGGTGATTTTGTTAACCCTATCAAACTAAAACCAGGTCTCTGTCTTTTATACCTTAATTTTGACAATATTATTCAGAGTGTACATACTGAGATTATTATTATCATTTGCAAAATAAACTATTTCTATATAAATTTAGATTCCAGTGATGTGAACCATAATAGTGCCAAAGGATCCAGATCTTCCTCTACTTCATCCTTTAATGGAACACCTAATAGACGGAAACCTCGCACTGTCAGCAGCCCTGAGCCTTTTCCACCAAAGGTAATAAATTAATATTTAATCCAAATACTAGGCTGTCCCTTTTAAAGTGCAAAGTTTTTAATTTTAAACTTGTTTGTTATAATAACTACAGTATTTAAATCATCAGTCTAAGTCTAGTAAGGTGACATACAAAAACTATAAAATAAAAAATATGAAATAGTTGTTTTTGTAATAATGAAGCGTATATGACTTTAAGGGAATCAAAATTTATGAAAAGAGTTAAATTTTTATTAGTTTTATTAAACATTTCTTTCAGTGTAAGTTTGTAAGCTGTTTCATTTTTTGCATTATTTTCTTTTTAATTTTATAGATAGACACAATTTCTCGTTCAGTTACAAAGTTCCATTGTACAAGTAGTTCCTATAATTGTTAGGTCAAGAACTGTCTCTAAACTACCAGTCAAAATCTTTAGATTTACAAAAACTAGTTTGCCACTTTCTTCACTATAGGCAGCTATACATTTTCTGGCTTTAAAACCATACTACTGATTTTACTATTGTCAGTTGTTTGGGATATAGTCATTGCAGTGGAAATCTTATGTTATATCATCATCATTTATTATTTCTTCCATTTCTTCACAAATTCCATTAATTGGGAAATTTTGCTTATTATAGTGTTTATAATCTACAAAATAAGGTTGTTCTTTTGCCTATTGTTTAAATTCCACTTTCATAAGCCAAAACTGCACCAATATATATATATATATATGGCCAAGGTGACTATAAAAAGCCAGTACCAAATATGCTTTTGCTCTGCAGATCCTACTACAGCTCCAGTATGGAAACTCTTTTTTATTATCCAAAATTCAGAAATTTAATTTTAATTAGAGAGCTTTAATAATAGCCTGCAACAAATAAGTTAGATCAAATTAGAAATTTAAAAAAGAGTGCAATTTGTTGTGTTAACTGAACTCGGCCAAATTTTGAAGAAATTCGGCCAAGAACATCGCTACGTGTAGACAGGCCTTTAGATTTTGGTTGAGATGGATAAATCAGAAGCAGTATTTAACCTAAAGCTCTGAATAGACTTTCATGAAAAAATATATTTATGAGATAATCTTAAACTTCTGAAAATGGGTATTTAAAATAGGTATATGATTGAGAACAACATATTCTATTGAGAATAAGCTCTATTATGAAGATGAACTCTTGTTACATTATGTATTAACCTCAATCTTCAATTTTGTGTTAATTTCACTTTTGTCTTGAATAACTTTTCAAATAATAGAATATTGCCACTAATTGTTATTACTGTGTATTATAAGAAGTAATATAGCAAATATAAATAATATAACAAATGTAAAAAATAAGTACCAACAATTAATGCTGTATTGGAAATTCTAAATGTATGCTGATTTTAAAGATTTTTTTATTTTACTGTTGAATTTTGTGTGGTATAAGTGTGAAGAAAGGTGTTCAACAACCTAAAGCTAAAATGAAAATGAAAAGTTGGTTATTTACATCATATTTAGAAAACTAAACACTGTTGTCATAAACTGGGAAAAGAATGAAAAAGAAATGTGCAAGGGCACTTAACACTTTGATATATTACTTTTAAAATACTTTACTAAAGATATACTACTTTAAAAAATTTTTGTGGTCGTTAAGTTCTTGATTCGTGAATCCGAAACATTATGTGAGCAGAGGATATACTAGGATCAATGTGGTATTTTCGAATCAAAACACGAGAACAGATGTATATATGAGCATGTATAATTATCATTTCCCATTGTATGTGTGAACAGAATGATAAAAATTGACTATTTTATAATTAACATTGAACTATAAAGTTCATAAAGAAATTAAATTTTATTTACAAACGATAACAGAAGTGATAGTTTATGTAAACTTCATTGCTATTCTGCCGAGTTCCATGTCTAAACATGAAATTGGAAAGAGGTCAGGTGCTAACCCTCATCAGATTTTTTACTATATTTTGCAATTCTAGACTTTGTAATAAAAAAAAAAAAAAAGAAAAAAAAAATTGCTGGTGTTGAGAGTTGTGTGTTGGACATCTGGATTTTAGGTTTTGTGCTGTATCATATTTTGTAACAATGCTGTATATTATCATTTCATCATTGCATGTAGTAAAATGTTGATTATGCAGTGGAAAGAAATCGCTGAATGTTAAATGAGAATGGATTGTTAGAAGAAGGTACTTTAATTCCTGAACCACAAAATTGCATTGTTTCTTCTTGAGCTGGAAGATAATTTAAATTATGTGAAAGCAATTTTTATGTAAATATAAAAATGCTTGGGAATATTGAATGATGCTTTTCTTTTCAGTACTGTTAGATGTACATAGAAAATGAATGGTAATGCCTATTACTGTAAACTAAAGTTTTGTTCTGTCTTTGATGATAATAATGAATTTTTAATGATTACTTAGATGCACACTGAATTGTTTTTACTTATATCGAAATATGAATCATTATCTGAAGTGTAGTAAAGTATGCGTTTTCATTAGATTGTCCAAGAAGAAATGTCTGATATTTCTTACAATCAAGAAATTGTGTGGAGCTTAAACATTAAGTACAGAATGCTGTTTCTATTATCTATTCCTCTATTCTCATTTAATTTTGAATCGTTTTTACTTTACTTAATGTCTTACTTATAAATCTCTGTTTATATTTAGCTCAAACTGATGAGAAAAGGAAGTTATTTGTAAACTATGTTTTGGAATATTCAGATATGTTCTAAAAAATATAAAAGTCAAGGATATAAACTGTACCTTGTAGCACCATCAAAAGTAATCAATATTCCCCTTCAGAGGCCCTCCAATATTCCCATGAAAGACATACTGCTATTGGGAAAAATCTAGATATTATGCAGCTGATAAAAAATACAAAAAGTCTTAAATAATGCTTTGGGCAATTCAGTATTATCAAAACAATATTCACCTGGCACATACATGTAACTTTTTATATTTTGTGACAGAAAAATCCACCACCTCCTCCTCTGCCATGACCCGATTTGACTCATAATCATAGGAGCAACAGCTAAAGGAAAAAGGTCAAGTAGCTTAATACTTTTCACCACTTCATTTCCATTTAATTTGTTTCAGTTCATGACAAGCATGCAAATGAACAACCTGAACTGTAGTCACAAATGATGGGAAGGAAATAAACAGTGTAAGGTTTGATGACATGAGTTGTTATCACAAATGAAGGGCTGGCAGTGGCCTTGAAGTGTTTATTATAAAGCAACAGAGTATTGTACAGGAATCTTCCTTTTTTTAGACTGCTATTTTAGTAAATGTGTACTGAGTGTAATTTGTAGTGTGTACTAATTAGTAATGGGCATTAACATTTTGAAGGAATATTTTTTAGCATTACATGATCAAATATCTTTTGAATTCCTTACTGCTACTAAATATAAATAAATGGTGGGGATACTTGAGTTAAGCAAGAGGTGCTGCCTTGATTGAAAAACAAACATTTAAATTTTTTCTTTCTTTCTTTTTTTTTTTTCAAATGAAGAGTTCATAATCTATTGCATCAAAAACACTTTTCCCTTTTTTGAAATATGATTTGCATTATGAGGTGCTAAATTTGGCGACTTATCAACATTCTGGTAATTTCAAGATCAGTTGGTATGTTTATGGCATGTTTAAAACTTAAAATGTTTAACCAAAAATAATGTATTAACAAACTCTTCTGTTTAATTTTTTGCAGATAGTTGAAGCTGTGCTTCAGATACAGTATTCTGGAGGCCCAGGCATGGCTGCAGGTTATTGTCGACAGTGTGCAGTTGCACTTACTGTAGAAGTTTTACCTTCAATTGTCATTACCAAATGGGATGTTCTTCCTTCAGAAGTGTAAGTTTTGTAGGACTCAATGTAATGTTTGTGTAAATTTTAAATGTATACTGTTGTAAGGATATTTTCTTGCAACCGAATCATAACTATGTAAATGCAAATCTAACCTAACTATAAAACTGTAAACATAACTATGTAAAAATACTAATGCTTAGTCAGTCACGTCCATTACTTTGATCTCCCAGTTTAGCTCAGAAGTTACTATTGTGCTTTTTTCACTGTAATTGTGAAAATAAGATTTAAAAAATGCAAAGTACATTATAAATAGTAATAAAACATTAATAATAGGTAAGCCCTTTTCTGAGAAGAATGATTAGAAATCTTAATTTCTTGCTTAACATTAAAATTTTCGTATTGCTCTAATTCCTCTGGAATGATAGAGCTGAATTGAAAAATTGCAACTTTTCTTCAACTTGATATTTTCAATTTCTGTAGTTACATTTTATACGTAATATAGTTTTTTTTTTAATTAAAACATATTTCAGAATTTTTACATTCTTAACATTGTCTTAGTAAAGTTTTTAAAAATTATTTAATCTGTGCATTCAGGTATATAACAAATATTTCTTTTTATCCATAGACCTACTCATTGTTATCTAGTCCTTGACATACTTAATTCCACAACCCATGAGATGGAAGTTCTGTATGCTTCTAATAAAAGGATACTTATAGAAGCTCATGACATATGCCGTATTCCTGTTTCTGTGGAGAGATGTCCATTATCAGCTGTTAGAGAAAGTTATGATGTATTTTTGGACATCTGTGGCAACCAAAGAAAATCCAGCATATTGTCTGCATGTCGTGATCATTTAGTGAACTTAGTTGATCTTCAATGGACATTAATATCCTTTTAACTTTTAGTTTTTCTAAAATTATGTTCTCAGTCTCTTGCAATATTAAGTAATATAGTTACCGACCAATTTGCTAGGATGTTATTTAAGCAATTGCATAACATTTAGACTTGAAGCTATTCCATAAATTGAAAACTCAGTATACTAAATGTATCATATAGGACTTAAAAACTTGTCTGAGTTAAAATGCAGAAAACTAGAAGTAATAGTGTGATTTTAAAACTTTGTTGTGTTGTCATTTTCTGTTATTAATCTTCATTAAATCTAAAAATATTTTATTTAAAATCTAAATTTAAATATTTTGTTTTCTTCATTTAAAAAAAAATTGTAATTACATTGTAAATATTGTTTTCAAATAATTGGTTAGCTAACCTCAATGAGTTGGACTCCAAAAATACATTGAATTCCTTGTGATTTCTTTTGAGTATTATCCCATGTGAAGATTCATTTATTTTGCTTCATATGTGAGTAATGTTCTACATGTAGAACTTCAAAGCATTTGATCTTTTCTCTAAACCCTACAATTTTAGACATCTGTACTTACTTGCTCACATATTTATTGATCTGCATATTTGCCGACTTACTTTCTCAAGGGTGCCTTTCTTTTTCTTTTTTTTGGGGGCATATAAAATTTTTCTACATTTTACTAGCAGTGCACATAGTATGACACTTATATGTATATTTGCACCCTTAACATTTTTTACTCATCATTAGAAATTTGTGGCCGAGCTTCAATTTCAGATATAACATGGACAGATGTTATGTTGAGTTTCATTTTAATGTCACCTATTCAGTGGGGTAAGTACTTTGTTAAAAAATTTCATATTTCAATACATGTTCGCAATTTGTATATATAATTATAAAAGAACTATTTAAAAACATTTACATAAAGTCTAGTTTTTCAGATTTGTCTGTTTTTCTGCATATATATAATATATATATATATATAAGAGAACAAAAAAAAGATTCAGAAAAATTGCTTACAATGTACATCATCCTATTTTTCTTAGTAAAATTTTTCTTAGAAAAAAAAAAGAGAAATACATGTATTGATACAGTTTATTTAAGGAAAAATTTTGCATTTAATATAACTTTAGCTGCGTTTTCAATTTTATAATACAGTAAGTGTTTGCTGATGTATCATAGAAAAAAATACTAAAAATTTATTGCTATTATCATTAATAAGAGGAATAACACTGGTAAACAAACTGTATAAGCTTTCTTGCAAAGCAGTTTCTTGAATTTTAAGTGCGTATTACCACTTACTTTAATATCCATCACAATACAGTAAAATCTCCACTATCACAGAAAGCTTAGGAAATGTAGAAGTTCAGGTAGTTGAGAGAATGAAAACATGACAGTTCACAACACAGGAGCCAAATAAAATAAAACAAAAATTCTGTTCTAAAATCATAAAAACATCCACTTTGTTATCAAAGGCGTAGATTTAAAGTTTGGAATGTGAGAGTTTGGAAAAATATATTTTAGATGCAGTTATTGATATACTTTCATAGGCCTAACTTAAATCACTGCTCGTATTTTTACACATTGCATTGCCGTTGTTTATCTATTTTCAAATACAGTTGCATGTGCCTGCTGACAAAAACTTTCTTGATTGCCAGGATCCATTACTTTTGAAAATAATCCACTGCATGCTTTTCTGTAGAAGGCTTGTTTCAAAATGAGAATTGAAAGACAGATAAATAACAGTTAACTTTTATCCTCCTTTCTAAGCTTACTGAGAATTAATTGGGTTTACATAGAAGCAGGATGAAGAAGTTACAAATGTGGCATTATGTTTATCCATTCTTGATGCTAAATCACACTACCTGATGATGCTTTTTGTTTGTCAAAGATCTTGATAGAAAAGTATGTGTAAGGCATGTCCAGTTCCAAGGTCTTTGAAATTATACAGTGGTGATTGGGGAGAAGCAACATCTCCTGAGAGAGAGCTGTGTAATTGTATGCGTGTATTAGATATTAAGCATTTTCCTGAACAGATTGCAAGCAATATATAAAAAAATTTAGGTTTCACTAAAATAATAGATGAATTTGCACTGAAGAAAGCAAGAAAAAATATTTTGTAGTTCTTTTTAGTATTGAAACTCTTGCCTAGGTAGAGATGAATAAGACTGCTTCTAGCAGACTTGTTGGCTAATTGCTAAATCAATCAATTTAACTTGTATGGCTCTCATAATAGTGATAATTTCTAATATAAGAGCTTATAGCAATACAGTTTAAATGCAAATGGTCATCCTTAAGTCAAGTTTAAAATAAACTGAGCTTAAGTATGATTGGGTTACAGTTGTTTACTTAACATGGTAGAAAGCTCCTTTAATGCTTAGCAACCTTGAGCCTTTAGACACAGAGTGTACTAAATTATCCAACTATCTTAAAATAACATTACAAATTTTATATGCTTACTGTTTACTTCTAAATCAAATTTATGTTAATAAGTTTGTTATTTTTGACTTGTTGATTGTATGTTCTTAAAAAATAAGAAACTATGAAAAATAAACACAAATTATTCATAACTTGTAGTATTTTTCAAAACTTACTATTTTGTTTGTTTCAATGTCATATGCAAGTATTTTTCGTATAATTTGTACAATTTGCCATATTAAGTACTTGGTGAGTATAAAATAAAATTTTATGTATCTTTTTTTTGGGGGGCAGCAATCTCAGGAAAGTACGTGGGCAGCCAATGGCCAAGGAATGACCCTGAGAAACCTAATAACTACAATACAACGTTTATTAAAATGGGCAGATCCTCACAAAATGAATCTGTGTAGCCACTTGCTGATGGCTGTGGATTGTGGGAAATACAGGGTGTTCGAATTAAATGTACCTTGCTCTACTTAACAAAGAGTTTAAAAGCATAAGAAAATGTAAAATTACCAATACTCACAAAGTTTTATTAAATGATCAAGTACAATTCCACATGTGCTTCCTTAGCAGCCCTGAGAATGTCCAGCCGGTAGTTCAGTTCCAGACATGTCCAGTGTAGCATTTCTGGAGTCACAGTAGCAATCGCCACGGTAATGGAGGCAAGAATGTCTTCAATATCATTAATGTTCCTGAGTAGACTTTGTCTTTCATGTAGTCCCAAAACAAGAAATCGAGAAGGTGGCCATGCGATTGGGCCACCATGTCCTATCCATCGGTTAGAGAAAGTTGTATCTAAAAATGCATGAACATGCTTGCCCCAGTGAGGAGGGGCCTCATCTTGTTAGAAGATAACAGTGGGTTGTAAATGCTGCATTTGGGGTATTGCATAAAAATTTAGTATGTCCAGGTAAATGTTTGCCATCGAAGACGCCTCAGCAAAGAAAAATGGTCATATGACTGTATCATGTGATAGAGCATATGAGACATTAATTTTTGGGCTGCTCCGTTCCAATTCGTGTAGTGAATGGAGGTTTTCTGAGCCCCAAATTCTGCAGTTGTGCTTATTGCCATTGTTGCTAACATGAAATGCAGCTTAATATGAAAATAAAAAAAAAAAAAAAAAAAAAGAGCTACTTTAGAAAATCATGTGCATTTTCAATAAGAGAGCGATAACATCTCCACAGCAAATGCTGCATGCCGCGGCCCATCATTTGGTTGTAGTATTTTGCATGCATGCATCCTCAGTTTTCAATGCAGCACATCATGAATAGTTGATCGTGGCATAGATAATTCAGAAGCTGCCTGCCGCCCGATCAACTGATGAGGGCTCCGAACAAAAGCTTGTCGAACATCGACCACACGTGAATCAAAATGTGAATGCCGATCACCTCTGTGAATCCGATCTTTTCCGTGCACTTTCCATTTCAAGAAGTGTTTTGTGCCCATTTTATAGGGCTATTACCATAGCCTGGGGTGGATTTCTTTATAAACTGTTTGAAACTTTCTTTGCACTTTTACTACGGATCAGTGTTCTGCATACGAGAGAACAATTTTTGCCTTTTCTTACGGTGACACTATTTTTCTGTTTGTCAGCTCAGCAAAACACAAGTGCATCAGACGCAAGAAAAAAATATTGTTACCAAACTCTACGAATTCAGCTCCCACATGTGGTTAATAGAACTTTGTTTTTAATCAACTGTTCAAAATAGGTACATTTGATTCGGATACCCTGTATAACAACATGTAAAATCATCAAATTGTTATGCTAGGTAAATTGGCTTTTAGCATTGTAAAGATTTCGAAATTTCTATTTATGATTTATGGCCATGTAATTCTTCATATTATGTAATTAAAATAGAAAAATATATATAAAAAAATTCAAATTTAGACTATTAACTTGTATATGCAAGTTAGATCTTAGAAATTTAGAAAATAGAATTTTGCATTATCTTACAATAATAATACAATAAATTTATAGATGAAAGAAGTGAGATTGAGAGAAAATCAGTTAGGAGAATAATTTGCCACATGATTAACTGAGCAAATTGCTGTGAATCGCATTTGCTAGTGATGTGGATTTTTAGTTTTTATTACTGTAGTAAACAATTGACATTATTTCTGAAGAATTACTTATGAGTAATACTGCAGTTTATTAACACTGATGCTATAAATTTGAGCAGAACATAACAACAGATCGTAAGTTTTTCTGATGCTTTTGCATCTTGTCCAAAAGATTAAAGTAAATCTCAAATAAGAAAGTTTCATTGTCTCTGAAGTGACTAGCATATTATTGCAGTATGACATTTCTCTGTATTAAACATGTATTAGCAGAGTCTTTGAAGAGAAGCATTGGCACAGAAATATTTAATTCACTGTTATGCTTGCTAGCAATTTAGCATGTTATTGAAGGACAAACTCGGTACGTTTCTGAGGGTTAAAATCCAGCTTCTAAATCAGATTTAAGCTAGACATTTGCAAAAAGAATTGCATTTTTGCATTACATTTTGGAGATCTCAAGATTCACATCAACTTTTTGAATAAGCCAGTTTTGATACTTAGGTCATGCTTTAAGTGTCACACATGCTGGGAAAAAAATTTCATTGATATGTGTACCAGTCCCGAGCTGAGTTACATTTTCAAGGATTACAATGTCAATTTTAAGGTCAGATGTATCCTTACATGAAGTATAATTGGCAGAACTGCCGAACCTTTGATTCTTTAAAAAGGTCAAATGACTGGTCTAAGTAATCCATTTATTCAAGTTTGCATTGTCAGGAAACAGTAAATTATAAATAACTTTTTTGCAGAAGAGTTCATTAACTATATTATTTCAGTTGCTTAAGTGCATGAGGATGCTGTGATTTAAAATAAAGCTTTATTATAATTTAATGCTGAATGCAAAGCATCAATTATCCTAAAAAGCTACTGGAATACTGTATCAACAATTTTGCTTAAATCTATTCTTTTTTAAAATTGTTATTACAGATGTGTTGGGGATTTTTAGTAGAATTTCTTACTATCAGACCAATAAGCAGTCTCATTTTGTTTAATTTTTTATATTACTTTTGCTTTATTATGAAAGTTTTTTTTTCTTTCTTTTAGATATTTTGTTGAATGGAAGAACCTTTAAAGCAGAATATGAATTCAACTTTATTGCAGGAGATTTAATCACTCTGAATATTAAACTACATAATGTTTCTGGTAAATATAGACATCTACTATTGCACTAGGTCAGCTTTTTTCAGGCCTATTACTCTTTTGCCGTATAACATATTTTTTGCTGCTCTATAGTATATAAATTAATTAAGCTTCTTAGTTATGAAAATCAAGGTGGAATTATTGTTCCTGCAAAATGGTACTAATGGGCAATGGGTGACTACTTCCTAAGAGTGTAAGATACTCCTTTATGTTTCAAAGCTCATAGGTCTTCATAGTGTTTATCTTTTGTTGAAGTGTACTGAATGCTTGTGCACCAATAAGTTAAATGTATAAACATTTTATGTTTTTACACAAAGGTTCATATACTCATATACATACTTATAGAGGTGTATCAATGATGAGAAATAAGTAATTGATTAAAGAAAGCTTTAAAATAAGTTAACATTATAGGACCTTAACTGAAATTTTTTTAAACTGAATTTTCTTTCTCATGTATCCAAAAATCTGAGGTTTTTTAACTTTCTTTATTTTTGTGCTTCGCTTCTTCTTGAACTAAACCAGCAGAACCTGCTAATTTTAAATTTAAATTTCATTTGGTGCCATGGAAGCAGTGGGGGGCATACTAAATTTTATAAGAACCTTCTGTTTTGAATATAGATTAAAATGGCTTCATTTACTATACAAATTTTGTGATCTTAATATAGGTTAAAAAGTGCATTCAGTTATTATTTTAAGAAAAGTGGGGTTTGCTTTCATAAACAGCTTTTATGCTTGGATCTGCTGGTTTGATTCCTGCTGTTAAAGGTATATTAACTGAAAAGAGAAAATGGAAAATGATGTTTTGAAGTATAAGAAAATATTTCAATAAAGTGAAAAGAGGAAAATGTGCAGATATTATTTTGCCATGTAAAGGCTAGGTTATCATTGTTATATATTATATTATTCCAATGCTTCTTTGATCACAGGTTTTTCTTTTCTTTTCTTTTTCCTTTTTTTTTTTTTTTTTTTTTTTTGTAAGGCTGTAATGTAAAAGCTTAATTTTGTGAAAGTGTTACTATGAAAGTTGCCTTAAACTGGCATTTTGTTTTTGTAAAATCAGTGCTAATCAATGGCAGAAGCTACATAATACTATTACTTCAACCCTGGATTTCCTTTCTGTCAACTTAATGTGCCTGCTATATGTATAGAATGCTTTAAAAATGGCCAACAACCTAAGGCTTAATTTTGCCTGATTTTAAAAATCTATTAATGAAGGAAAAGTTCCTCTATCACTACTGTTTTACTTGTGAGTTCCAGATATAAGTTTATGGTTGCCTGACAGAAAAATATTAGTAGATTCCCCAAAAATATGTTTGACATGCAAGATATGTATGTAACATGTGGGAAATAAAGTTATTGAGATTACATTTAATTAATAATGCATACATTGTTTTTCCTATTTCCATAACATGTTCTGTAGTTTTAGTGAAATTGCTTCCAAAACGAATTTTCTCCTATTTCTTCTTTTGTTCAAGTTAAATAAATCACCACTCAGTGTAAATTTGAATTTCAAGTTTGTGCAAATTCTTTCTAAGAGCCAACTTGGAATAGCCAAGTGAGGAAAATAGAAAGGCTGTGAGGTGAGACATCTCATATTATCCCCAAAATTTAAAATTATTAAATGGTGGTAGGGGGAATGCATGGTTGGAAAACGAGGAATGTAGATACGTTTATGGCAGATCTTGTTTTATACTTTCAATCTCTTCAGTTATGCAACCTCTTTCTATTTATGAAGTACTTCATAATGTCAGAGTTCAATTGCTCATTGATTACAGGCAGGCAAGGGGTTTATTGAAAATGAGAAATTCCTGTGCAGTCAAAAAGCATGATCGGTATGACATTTCCATTCATTTGATTTACTCTTGTATTTAATGTTCTCTTTGGTGATTACAATTTCCCCATTCTTTGCAAAACTTGTGTTTTTGTTTCAATATTGTACCTCTAAACCCACATTTCGTTTTATTCTATGCCATGCTTCAAAAATTTTTTATCAACTTTTACTTATGAAAACTGCCTCAGTGGCATGGTTGTTTCTATTTCTTGTGTCAAACTTCTACCATATATTTTGCTGCAACATGATATAGGTTTAGTTTTTCTACCAAAACTGTTATATAAATTTATAACTTCATGAACCTGCCTTTTTTTAACTACTTTACGGATTTTTTGGTAAGGATTTTCAAGAATCAAGTATAGCTTTTCTTTGTATTATAAATGAAAAAGGTGGAGAGACAATCGTTAGTTATATTTTGCTTGATTTAGAATGTAGATGCCATTTGTAACATTTTATCTAGTTTCAAGCTTTAAATTCCTAAACTTTTTATGTACTTATTTCATCAAAATCCTCGACCTTTTATCAGCCACTTAATATTTTAGTAATTAAACTTTGTGTAAGTCATTTTGCATTTTTGTGTAAGTCATTTTAAAAATTGTTTAACTTTGAAAAATGGATAACATGTAGCAATTTAATATGAAAACAATATTGAAAAATCCTCATTGTTTACTTGGGATTAATGGAAGGTTATATTTAATGTGACAAGATTTTTATTTAGCTGTTCATTATTAAGCTTTAGTAGTCATGCTCACCATATTTCTCTGCAAAGAGCCATATAAATCTGTTTCTACAAATAATATAAAATTATGTGGATGGAGAATTCCTGCAGCCTGTATTTCCCCCCCCCCTTTATATTCACTTCTGCGCTGTTAATTCCTGTTGCTCTTCTTGAAGGCCAGAATCTTAGATTAGCCACTTGGTATGGTTGAGCCAAGATATTGTTTAACAGTTTTTATACCAACAGATTGCCCTGTTGGCATGGTTAGTGGTAGGGGATCCGGGTGTCACAGCCTTGGACCCAGTTTCAAATCCCAAGAAGAATATAGTGCCTTTGTAGCATTAGGAGGAATTAAAATACCATAAAGCAGAAAATCTTTAGAGGTTGGTGATGGGGAAAGAGAGTAAGAGGCTGGATTTGTATTACGGTGTGTTCTACCTCCAAATTGGATGAGACCTTTGGTGTAATTTGGGTGCACCCTTGGCTCAAAACGGGGGCAATTTCTCAGTGATGAGGTGGCTAAATGACCAATGGGGTTTAGCTTATCTAATGAATTTTTAATTAGCAATGTGTCCTGCTATAAGGGGAAATGTTTTCACTGAAACATTAAGTGATGAAATAGTTTCTGCATTAAAAAATATTTGTCTCATAGACTGCTAATAAGCAATTTTTGTCCATCACACTGTGTGTCTTGCCTGTATTGACTATATTGGATATACTTTTGGCTTTAAGTCTTCTATTTTGTGTGTCTTTTCTTTTGTGCAGTCTTGGTTTTGCTAGTTTGATTCAGAATTTCTTTTGGAAATGCTGCTATCTCAAATATCTTTATTTCAGTTTGACTAGAGAACTTTAAACTGTATATAGGAGACTAGTGTCTGGGAGTGACCTAGAGTTATATAGGAGGCACATGAGTGACTAACAGGGCATGACGGAGCAACTACTCTTTGTGGCTATAGGTCTGAATCTGTTGGGTTGTGTTGGTTTATTGGAGTTTAACATATGTAGACTTATATTTGTGAAAGAGAGCAGCACATCTGTTTGAGAATGTAATGATGAACAAAAGTCTTTGGCAAAGCTTGTTAAGAATGCTCGAAAATAAATAGTTAATTACTATCGTGTAATATAAGATATATCTTTCCCAGACAGCATTTCCTTGCATTATTAATTTTGTTGTTCTGAAGGCCGTGTTTTTCACATGGTTAGGTGTATATATATTACTGTCAGTGTAAATTCTAGTCTTATTTTACAGCTTGAATGTGCTGGCGGCATATTTTGGGCACGATAGGTGAATTTAGCTGTACAGTCTATGAGGTATCAGCAAAACATTTCAAATTCTTCAAAATGGTGAAAATTATATGTTGACAATTTTTAGTTTTATTTCACTGTAATGTTGTTAACTTTTGTGACTAAAATATTTTCATCAAATAATAGTTGTTTCTGCTGTCATGACACTGTTACTTTTTTTTTTTTTTTTTTCAAATAGAAGCAGCAAAAAGGAATTTTTTTTTTTACTGTCTTAAATGGAGAATAAGTCTCCTTGTTTTTTATCATCTAGAAATCTTTGTATTTTTATAATAATTGTGGTGATTTTGTAATCTCGATATTTATGTAATATTTTATGTAATTTTTTCTTAAATTTGAAATAAAGTCTTTAAATTATTATAGATATGGCTCTTAATTCTTTACATCTCTTTGTACGAGGCTACCAGGATCATCAGAATGGCCATCAGAGTTATCGTTTGGAAACAAAAAGAGCTGTTATTGGGAGTGAGAAAATTTTTATCAAGGAGGTAAGAAAATGTAATACTTTTGATTCTAAAAGGAATAAATGTATAGTTGTAGTTACTTTATATCTGTAGTCAAATTTCAGTGTCAGAATAATTTTTGAGTACTGTAAAGAGAAAAATAATGTACATATAAATAAAATAAAAAATGCAGTTGAATACTGCATTAAAGAAAATGGGTGTTACTGTTGTTTAATGATAATTTTTTGTTCCAAAATAAAATTTGGAATTTATGTCATCACATTTTTTATTCTTCTAGATTCTACCCCATGAAATTTATTGTCATGAATGTGGCTTTGTTTTTTTTCATGCTGGTGTCTATAAATTAGACATACTTTGTAGCCATAAAGATCAAGGTATATGGCCTCAGAGTAGTGGTGATTCTGACTCTACTAGTTCTGATAAAAGTAATGTATCATTCCCACCATCATGGAATGGTGACAGCAGCTGCCAAATGCAAAAATTTGCACCTTCAATTGATATCACTATTCTTGAAGATTAAAAGACATTAATATATAAAATAATTTTATGACCTGTTAATTTAGAATTACTATTTATAAATTGTAATTATATCAAAAGTAAGAGAAAATGTTTCTCTTAAAATTTCATTCTACTGTATATTATGAGAGAGCCTAAATTTGAAGCATTTTTTAGTTTTTATGTTACTTAATGATTTACTTTTTGAAGTTTCAATGATGCGTTTATTGTATTGCAAAGTTGAAGCTTTTAACAAGCAAAATACTATAGAGATGTTACATTAGACTTTTTATGAAGATCAATGATATTTTAATTTGCATAACTAAAAATGTTGAAGCTTTAAAGAGAAAGATTATGCTTCTGCAGAGTTATGAAAAATATAAGATTTTCATGCTCCTGTAATAAATCATTTGAAGTTTTATTAAGGTAATCATTATATATATTCAATAATTTTTAATTAATCAGTTATTCACTATTAATACATGTTTTATTTTATTCTTTTATGAATTGCATGAAGGCGTGTAAAAAACTACTTTAGGATTTGAGAAACAGTTTCTTAAATATCATAAAATAACTTACTAGGAATCAATCATGCTTCTGCTAATGCAGCCTCTGACAAGGAATTTTCATAGAGCAATAAGATACATAATTTTAGTTTTCAAAAAAATAATTTTCAAGTTGTTATCTGGAAATTGATCTCTTAGTAATGCTAGTTCAATTTTATTTAGCTCTCCGTTGTGTGATTTCATTAATGAAAATAAGGAAGTATCTTGAATAGTTGTATTAATTTTGTTAGTTTTTATGAAGATTTTATTGTATTTTGTCACAATACACCATAAAATATTAATGCTTTATTGTGAATCATTTTTCCCGTAAATAATTTATTTTTTTGTGTGATAAACGAATATTAGAATTTTAAAAAAGATGAAAAACTGTATATTATATTATTTCAATTCAAGTGTAAATCATTTTGGAAACCTAAATCATTTTGTAAACCTAAATTTTGTTCTAAATTATTGAAAGTTTGCTCAATATTGGAAAAACGATGTTTGACATTTTATTAGTTTTTCTGCTATTATTTCTAAACCTTTCTGCTATGTGCATATTAGCCAAAAAAAGGAGGCATTTCTTTACTTAATAGTGTGATAATTAACTACTCACATTTGCCCGAGAATCTTGCAAACTCTGTGAATACTTCAGTGATACTTGTTTTACAACAGTTAAGAATTTTTGTAAGAAAACGAAAAAATATTTATATTCATCATAACCCATATTGGTTAATTGCATAAAAATACATTGTTACTATAGAGTAAATCCCAAGATTTGTATATAATAACACTAAAAATTAAGTTATCACTAGCATATGTACTGAAAAAATGTTTTATGTGCTTCATTTTATTCATGGAGTTTAGATTCATAAATTATCTTTACAATGTAGGCTGATTAGTTCAGTAATTTGTACAAAATATAGGTTCCTTAATAGTCATTAATACATTGTCCAGCTATTTTGAAATTTCTGAAACATTAATAATTATTTAATAAAGTAAGTTAATATGAAGCATGGTGTAGTTAGTGTTGTGTTATTTGGAAATTATTATTAGTTTGTAGATAGTGATTCAAATGAACGTCTTGTCTTGCAGCTTAGCCATGCATTATGTAAAGTTGCATTTTTATCATTTCTGATAATATTATAGAAGACTTAGCAAAGGAGCTTAAAAATTTCTATGTATTTATTTCAGTCGTTAAAATCCCATTTATTAGTAGTGTCTACAAAAGGTATTTGAATGCATGTTTTATTAAATTAATTGGTACATTTATCTAGATAATCTACAAATTTCAAGAGATGATGTAGTAAGTAATTATAATTAAAATTATTTTGAAAGGATTTCATAATCTTGAGAAGTCATACTAAATGTTGCATTGCATTTTAAAATCATTTTGTGGTGTGTTCTAATTGTTTTTTATAGTACGTTTTGTATATTCTGATTGTTTGTGATATGTGTAGTGTATAAAATATCCGATTGGATCAACATTTTTGCTAGATCATTTTTTTTTAAACGGGAGTAATTTTTCTAATTAAATTATTCACTTAAAAGTTCAATAATTGAACTCTTTGAATAACATGCAAGTTTGTCTGTGATGATAGTAATTATGTGATTTGTGTGTAATTATTTTATTCTTTAATTATTCTGTTTTGTGTGGAATCTGTTAAAAATCATTTTATGCGAGCACTTTTGTTGTGTACTTTCAGAAATATTAAGTTCAGCTTCTAATACTGCATATACTAAAAAGTATGAAACACTGTTTATAACAAAAAGTTTAGTATGCAACTTAAATGTAAGCACTTATGTACTAAAAAGCATAAGTATATAATCTTATTATACTTAGTAATGTTGTTTAAATGTAATTTTTTTAAAAAAACTTTGAAAATGACATTTTTTCCTTCCCCTTTTCTTAGTATTAACGTATGTATTGTTTGTAATATTTTTTAATAATAGAACTCATTAGTAAAAATTTCTAATGATTTCAAAAAAAATTTTTTTTTACATTCTGTAGTTATTCATAGAATTCATAATTAAGAATCTGATTTATTGTAAAAGTACATCTGTCCTTCTAAAAGATTATTCGATTTTGTGGAAGCGCGGAAAATTTTAAAAGGATTACTGTATGAAATATTTAATATTTTCTGAGCATAATGCTTCTTTCGAACATTTCATAGGAATGCTACTGTGATAGTTACTGTAACAAATGCAATTTAAATAACAATCAACAGAGTTATCTTTAAAGTGATTTAAATAATACAATCGTATATTTTTAATTCATTGTGATTTTTCTGTATTTAATATCAGTGCTGTATTTCTTTGTTGTGATATCACTTGTTTGTATTTGATAATGAACTGTATTTTTTTAACCATTATTTGTATTGCTCAGCTTGAAAGTGATTTTGCATTTCTGAATTAGATTTTAATATAATTAAAGTAATTTAAATCATTTCATTTTGTTAAACGTATCTTTGAGTAAATGTTCATTTTTTATATGGTGACTTAAAAAATGTTAGATCAGAGGAAACTTTCAGTCACTCAATGATAAAGGCCTCAGGTATTATTCTAAAACTAAATATTTTTTATGTTTCTTCTGTACCTAAATACCAAGCTAAATCTGTTACGATGAATAATTGAGTAAAACTCAAAAGTGAATGGGATGTTTTAAATACCTTGAGTTTAAATACGAAATTGAGATACAAAATGTTTGGGTACTGAGGTAACAAACAAGGTAAAGCTATAATTTTGGCATATTTTGCTTGTAAAAGTCCTGGATGAAGAATTTTATACCTTAAGAAGATAAAAATATAAAATTGAGAAGAGTACTGTATTAATATAGGTTAAAAATATCTGTAATTTCTTTTGACATGGAAAATTATAATTTTTCATTGAAATTTTTTGAAAATCTGCGAGAAATATGGGCGAGATTGAATGTAAGCAGATCTACTGTTCATAGCTCAATTTCAAAATACCATAGTAACAAATTTAATTAGTGAAAGACACCATGCAGGGGTCAAAGATGTTTCACTGAATGCAAAGAAAAGCAAATCATTAGAAATGTTACTTGTAATCCTAATCCCATTGCAGTCAAACTGACTTTAGAAGACCAAAATATATTTAGCTAATGAATAATTATCCTCTAATGAAGATACTTTTATGTATATTTTAAGAAAACATAACTTTCACTGGCTGAATAATTGTGGGGGGGGGAGGAATCTGTGTAAAGTGAATTGAAGGCAAGATTACATTTTGCTAAGACATATATCAAAATGCCAGAAGATTTTTAAAAATTGAGTATACTTTTAGATGAGTGTAACTTTAGTATTTATGGGAATGATGGAAAGCAATGGTATGGCTAAAAGCCTAGTGATGATCTTCAAATGAAGAATCCTCTTCAGTCAAATATGATGAAAGTAGCTAAATGATCTGATGTTATATGAGTATTTTCCAGCATTGAAAATTTTATTATATTTTGTTGACGACAAAACAGATAAATTTATGCATTTTTATATTTTAAAATAAAACTTGATCAGGACAATGATCCCAAAACTAACGCTTATTTTTCCAAATTGTGGACTTCATATAATTATCCAAATATAATTAATGTGCTTGCATAGAGTTCAGACCTCTATACTGTTTGTTGAGAATAATTAGGATATTTTGCAAGATAGAATTAATAAATTTAAAATTTCCTCTTAAAAAAACTTACCACGGAAGTAGAAAAAGCAATCAAATTTCTGTTTGAATCTTCTAAAATCTATTCTAAAAAGACTCAGTGTAGTCACACAAAATAAAAAAAAAAGCACAGTGCTTAGTTAAAATATGTTTGAGTTTTTAAAATATCTTTGTGTACCCCAATGTATTTTATGTATTTTTGACTATCACATTCTCTTTTCTGCAAAAGAAGTCTGTAGTTTGTAAATTACTTAACAATATTTAAAAATAATTTTTCAGCTATGGCATATAAGAAAAGCATTTAATTTAAGTTAGCTATTTAATTATTCTTTCAAAAATATCTGAAAGCTTGTTGTGCCCTAATAAATTTTTGAATCACTCTAAGTGTATGTAATATCGCACAATCGTATAGAAATAACCAACAGAAAATTGTGTTATATTACAGTGCCAAGCTCACTTTTGCTTGTTTGTTGATCTAATGAGGATTTCCTTCTTTTCTTCTCTTTTGTTGAAGGGTAAAAATAAAAAATAAAAAATTTATAATTTTGTTTGGTTTTTGTCACAGTACTCTTTGTCTGACTTTTTTATCGGCTAATGGAATTCTGAGCAGCTTGTATAGGTGAATCATTTAAATTTCAAAAGTTTTGAGCTTTGTGATAAAGTTATAATTTTTGTATAAATTTGCATTGAATGATAAAATTTCTAGTATTTTGTAATTGCTAAAATTTCTAGTATTTTGTAATTTGTAATTGCTGCTTTAATAAATCAACACTGGGTTTATTATAATTTTTCGTTTAACTTAACACATTTTCTTGGTGTAGTGTTGCTTTATTAACATTAGGTGATATTGTGTAAATTTATTCACTTTTATCATAAGAGTAGCTTTTCATGTGTTTGCTTTTCATGATATTGAAAGGAAAAGCAAACACATTATAACATCAAAATTGAATTATCATATCAAAGTGATAAGCTGCATGTTTAGAAGGGAGAAAGAATGAGATTATATTGAATTTAATTTAGAACAGTTGCAGTCTTAATTCTTGAAACTGCCTCTGTGCTTTGTAATAAAAATAAGCATCAATTAAAAAATTTGGATGCCTTCAAATAAAGTGAATAAAGTGCTGTAATTATTAAATGTCCTGAGCTAAAGATCCACCAATCAAATAGAATGAAATTGTTTCTGAGTCTGAATTTTTATAATGAAATGACCTCATATGTTTAACTGTGTGGAATAATGTATCTTTGCCATAAATCGGGTTAGAAAAATATATCTTTCTGGTGTAAAGTGTAACTAATTTCTTAAATGGCTGGTGATTAACATTATTGTTGTGAATCATGTATAGGCATATGATCTGGTGCTGTCACTTAACAATCATGCATTAATGTGTGGGAAGGTTACATGTTAACTCCGTTTGTACACTTGTCAGTTTTTGGATGAATTTTGTAACCTACTCTGACAGCAAATGTGTCGATAAACTCCTTCATGGCAAGGAATAAAATTAACATATAGCATGGTTGTATAATACTGTTTTCATTGGTAAATAAAAAAAAAAAAAAAAAAAACAATATTATGTGAGTTACCAAGATCTATAAAATATTTTAGGCAGGTGTTCTGGGTTTCGCATTTAACTTACTGGATCCTAAATTTCTTTCATATTACATTGTTTGTGTGCTGAGTGCAGCGATCCAAAATTTTTCTTTACCTCATGTACTGTTAAGATACAAAGAATTAATACATATAAGGCACATATAGTTATGTTATACACTGGTTTTTAAGTTCATAAAACTTTTTGAAATTGTTTTTATAGTCATCCAAACATTTAAAAATTTTCTCATTTTGTAACTGCAGTCTCTGTAAGACAACTGCTGAAGGGACTTGAATGGGACGATCCCATTTCAAAGCTCTTAGAGTCTCTTAAAGAGAAATAATAAAGTGCAGTGTATTTCTCAATCCCACTCAATTAATCTCTGATGTCAATAAAGTTGTGAATTAATTACTAGCAGCGAATGAGGTAAATAGAAAAAATTGTAGTACACGTAATTTTCAAAGTATTATACTTGAATATTGTATTAAATATAAAAGATATTATATGTAAAACAAAAACATATTAAAAAAAAGTGATATTCAAACTTTTATTTAGTAATTAAAAAAAATATCATTGCATATCAAAATAATTAATACGTAATGTCTACCTGTCTGATTTAGTTAATCATTTTCTTTTCCAAAGTAGTTTGAACTTTTAAATAATTCTGTGATTTTTTACTAACTATAATTTAGTGTAAGTTTCTACATTTCTCCTTTGTAAGAGGTCTTCTAATTCTAAATATGATTATTTTACTTTTACTTAAATGAAAAATCTGGGAGCCATTTGGACATTGGTTTGTTAATATGGTTATGAACTGCACAGACAAGAATTTTTTTAAAAAAATGTTATAACCAGCCTAGGAAGTGGTGAATCATTTTTAAAGAATGCTGTGTCATAACCAATGAATCAAACTTGTATGATAAATAACACCATCATAAAAAAGGATAGATTAATGATTAAATGTCGTTTTTTGTAGAAATAGTTTTGTCATTGTAAGAATTAGAAATTTAGGATCTTGATTAGTCAACTAATAGGTGTTCTTGGATTTCATAATTAATGTCTTTCTTTCTCAGAAATAGCTGTTGTGCACATTTTAATTGCTTCCAGACTATATGTCAGTGGTGATTATACTAAAATTCTCCTTCGCAAAAAAATTTCTGATGAACAAAACTACTTTTCAATTTATTGTCTCGTAAGGAAAGATTTTAACAAGTTGTTTAAAAAACCGACGGCCCAGTGCTGCAGTAGCTAGCACATTGTGCAGCAGCACCACAGGTCCGGGATTCGATTCCCAGGCTGGGCAAGACTCGGCCTTTCATGCCTTGAATTTATCGGTAAAACGAGTACCAAGTTCACTTGGGGACTAAATACTGGGGTCCTGCAACAAGCTGACTTCTTGTCCAGGTCATATGCTTATGCATCCTGAGAAAAGCAGATATCAGGGCACTGCAGGCCATGGTCTGCTGGGGCTGTTGCACCACTGCATTTAGTATTATTGAAGAAACTGATGTCCTTTTCTAGAACTTTTTTGTGAAACTTAATTTATTATTAAGTTGGGAGTTAAGGAATTTGCTTAAGGCAACTAAGATTCTGCTCAGAAATTTTTTTAAATTAATATTGGATTTTTATCTTTTGGGTTAAAATTTTTGAATTCAGTAGTTCGTATGAATTCTGCTGCCATATATGTATCTGTGTAGTTCCTTTCACAGTGTATCTTATTGCTGGTAATAATGTCAGGTTAAAATCCCACCAACTTCTTATTTGCATTGTCCAAAGAAAATATTGTCTGCCACTGAGAAGGGGAGAGCAGAAGATTTTGTTTCGTATCCATTTATGTAATTATTTGATATGTTTGGCCAACTTCAAGTAATATGCATTTCTGTCTTGATTGTGCTTTATTCCATAATAAATAACATTTTTTATTTTAAATATTTCGTCCTCATGAGCTACTTTTAAATTCCATAATTCATAAAGACAATAAAGAAGCTTATATGAACTTAAACTTTCAGTTACGTTGTGCATTTCAGAAACTACATGATAGTTAACATAAGTATTAATTTTACAATTAGTACTGTAAATTAGTTTAAATGTGGTTAATATTTTAACTGAGAGGCAGAATCACTTTAGTCACTTACAAGGCATGTTGATTTTTTGTATATATTATCCTATTTAAAACATTTTTTTATTGAATTAATACCACCCTGATGCACTGAAGCTCATGAAATTGAAAATTAAAGTAAATAACAGAGATTTAACTAATTCAGTTTAATATTAGTTGTGCCAGTTTCATGAATGGATCATAAAAGATTAGTGGTTCGAAGGGTTAAATCACACTGCTAGCGAAAGTGAACTGAAAAACTGTACTGCCCATTCATTTTTTTTAACTGCTACTGTACTAGGCAACCCTATGATCTAACCAAAATATGAAATTACTTGAGTATTTATAATGGAGGAAAAAGTCATGAACTTCATGAATTGTCATAAAATTTGAAACTCGGAATCTCACTGTTACAGGTCTTATATTCAGAATTTTGAAACTATGGTAATTTTAATATACAATTCCCTCCTCATGTGTTTGAGGCATATCTGAAACACATTTTATTATAGAATATATTTTGCAATTATGTTTTAAAGTCCATATTTCAAATTTATAACTATTTCATCATATGAAATCAATCTCTTTCATTTTCTTAGAACATGACCGATACACTTATTTTATTCACCGTTAGTACTTAATAAGTAAATTTATTGCAGATATCGTTGACAATAATGCACTAAAATTTAATTATTGGTTTTTATGTATCTTTTGTACATGTGTTGTAGTAAAATGTAATTGCTATGGTTTAATTTGTGTAACGCAACTCTGTGGTACCTGTTACCTCCAAAAAAGTTCATTATATCACATGTTGAATGCAGTCACTGTCATAATCAGAGTGTCATTCATTGGATTTTTGAAACTGTATTCTTCAGCATTCTGCATTTGAAAGGAATTTCTCCATTGTATGTTTGTATTGTACCTCTCAATATATTTCTGCTGCAATTGTATTACTTTTTAGGTATAATTTTTATCAAAATATTAGCCTGGGGTTTTGTTTTAAACTATTTTCTGATGTATATGGTATTAAAAAGTACCTCATGAAAACTATATTTGTAATTAAATATTGCAATCAATATTTGTAAATATGAGAAATGTTTATATAGAAGAATGTAATGACCATTTTGTAACTGGTTATACATTCATCATAAGCTCATTCCAAGTCAACTTAAGATTTGTTGTATAGTTGATTGTTAACATAGTTGTTAAAAATATACAGTTACCATTCATTTTTAAGGAATGGCTATTGTAAATAATGAAATAAAAGAAAATATAGAAATTATGTTTTGAAATTTTGGTTTGTTTTTATTTGCAATATGTTTTATTTTCTCATTTTCTATTCCATTCTAATTTGAACTACTGCTAAGTTTTATTCATTGTTCTTGAAAGAAACTTTTTCTATGTATGTGAATATTTAAGTAAAATTCAGAAGGTTCATTGAGAGCTCCAAAAGAGTTTACAAATCCCAAATTCTCATAGTTGTATTTTTAAAATAATCTACCTTCATAGTAAAACCCATTTTCAAGAATACTTTCCTGTTCATCTATGCCTCTTCAAAGCACTTTCAGAATGCACTCCTTCATTTAACTGGCATAACCTGCATAGTAGCGGACAGCAGTTCCATGCTAAAAAATCGACAATCCTAAAATCAGTATTCAAGCTTGGGAAACAGGCAGAAAACATGGTTAATATGATGAAAATGGAAGAGGTAAAATTCCTATTTTCGCTGGAATTTTCATAACTAAGAGTAATTTCTGGACATATCTTTGATGTTAAAAAAAAAAGACACATGTAGAATAACATTGTCATTACTGAGATTTTTCACATAAATGTTTTTAGCTTGCATTGATTATAGTGTAGCTGATACTCTGGTCTCTGTGTATCTCATTTTATCTTAAACTAATGGAAATGCTGATACCACTGGAAGATTCTGGATTATATTTACTGGCATAAACTTGCTTCAGTATGTCAGAGGTTTCCATTTGATATTTTCTGAGACATACACAGAATGCAAACAATACTTTACGACACATCACTGAGCATAGAACAGCCAGATGTATGATGTGACCACAAGACATAACTGTAGGCAATTGTATTAATTTAGAATTTAAACAACGGTAATCAGTGTTATATTTGCACATTTTCACAGGACTAGTTTCGATGGTTTTACCGAACCATCTGCCTCAGCTGCTAAAGTGCAAAATTAATACTTGTTCGGCTTATTTTATCTTAATTGTATGAAACTTCTTCTCAGAGAAGTTAGCCTGCAAAGTGAAATGATCACTCTATGACTGTTATGCATGTGAAAAAAGGGAAGGCAATCTTAAACATCCTGTTATAACTGGCTGATCAACAAAATCTCATTTTTCAGGTCTCAAAGGGATGGTTTAAGATATGCACCAAGGTCTAAGATTACCTTCACATGCATAAAAAGGGCTGATTTCTCAAAATTTATTGTATGAATTTATTGATTCATTGATCTGCTCAATTTATTTTTTTTAGTACAAAGTATAACATACACTGTACTGCCATTATTGATTTTACTCCTTGAATGGAAAATAAAATCACTAATAAGGGTGTTAAATTTGTACAAAAACCATGAGTGTGCATCTAAATAAGCTTAAGCTGAAAACTGATGGGGCTGAAAAGAGCATCACTATCGGTACCCCCTTGGTTCAGTCATTTATGTTATCCGTAAGATTTATAGGAGCAAGTTTGTGCTAAAATAACTATAACTTGCCCACGTCGTTTAGTGAAATGAAAGATGTCCTTAAATATCTTAACCCCAAAAATGCACAGGATAATGAATTTATCAATAATCATGCTCTCGTGGTACTTCCCTGGAAGTATATAATTCTCCTAACCTATAAAATTAATGTAAGCCTGCACTTTGGTTATTTCCCTTCGCAATGGCAGCATGCCATCACAGTTACCTTCCTGAAGCCTGGAAGGAACCCAAATGAGCCCTTCAGTTACACATCAGTTAGCCTACTTCCAAGTATGGATAAATTATACCAGATGATCCTCCATATTCGCCTGATTTGGCACCTTGAGGGCATACACACACTCAGTAAGATGCAGTATGGATTCAGAACACTCTTCATCAAGTTGTTAACATTACTGAACATGTAGCAGATGCCTTCATTAAAAAGACTGCTGTTGCGAGATGGTTTTTTGACTTGGAGAAAGCATTTGACCCTGTAGGGCATGCCGATCTCATTGCAAAACTAAGAGACCAACAAATTTCATAAAAATCATTTTTTCATACCTTAAAGACGGAACATTTCAAGTTCATATTGAAAAAGTCTCTCGAATAAAAAAGGAATAAAAGCAGGAGTGCTACAGATGTTTATTCTTGGACCCACACTCTATAAATGACCTTCCAGAGCCGCTTAATGCAAAAACTGCAAAATATTAAAATGGCTTTGGACTCCCTTTAAATGGCAGTAAACAATGTGATGCTCTGATGTAGCCTGTGGAGAGTTACAAAAGTAACGTACTTAACATTACATTAGATGACTTTTTTGATGTTACAAGAAAAATTTTTGTGTACATAAAGATATTAAAATGGAGTTTCAAGTAATTCCTCTGTAAAGTATTTAAGAATAATTTTTGACAAATAGCTTCTGTTGAAAGAAAATGATTAAACTTAGCTGTATGATAAAACGAAATCTTTTTCTTGGACAAGGCCTGTCCTAACGTATGTGAGTCTGGTCTGGGCAACTGTAGATAAGACCAGACTGTAAAACATGGATATTTTCAAAACAAGACCCTTAGAATGATACTTACTGCACCCTGGTTTTGTGCGCTGTATACAAATTCGCAAAGAATTAAAAATTGTGACAATTCACTGCTCACAAGCTTTTATAATTTCTTTAACAAAATGATGAATTTTTAGTTTAAACATTTATGAAGAAATGCTGACTATTACCCAACCTTTGAGAATGTGGTGAAAAGACCGTTGATTAGATACCACATCTTAGTGACTCATATTTGGTGAATAAACTTTCATAGGAAGGAAACTGGTCTCCTAGAGCTAAAATAAGAGTAAGTAGCAATACTCATCCTCAACAAAACTTCTTACGACCGGTAAATGTGTTTTTATAAATATTATATTCAGTGGCGGCTCGTGGCTAAAATTAGTGGGGATGCTGTTCCAAAAAAAAAAAAAAAAAAAATTAACCTTTGTTTTAAAATTGTCTAAAAGGAAACAAACATGTATAAAAAGAAAATTTATTTTGAAACTTCATAAAATCTTATGAGAAAAAAATTAAACATTCCTTAATTACTTTAACCAAAATTGTTACAGTTGAACTGTAAGTGAGTTCAGTCTTTGTCTATTCATTTAAACCATTCTTCTTGTTTTAATTTATGCGAAAAGATCAATAATTTTCTCCTTGATCCCTAGATGACAACTGAGGAAATTTTTCTTTATTGAAAGCAATGCAAGCGCATTTAGTCTTTCCGAATTCCTAGTGCTTCTTAGAAAAGTTTTCATTCTTTTCAATGTTGAAAAGCAGCGTTCTGCCTCTGATGTAGTCATGGGAACTCTCAAGAGAATTTTTATCAGTTTCCTAATCTCACTAAGAACACCATCTAGATTATTTTCGAAGATAAATTTCAGTAGCTCAATTAATTTGCAGTATTCATGGATATCAGACCTACAACAGAATACTTTTAGTTCAGTTTGAAGCTTTTCTTTCTCAATCATTGGATATGCTTCAGTGGTCAGTACTATTTCTTCTGTAAAATGTTCATTCCTAAAACTAGCGAAGCATTTCTTGTTTAACAATTTAGCAGCTGCTAAGTGTTTAGTGGAAGAATATCTGTGGATTACATCAATACATAGTTATAAAATCACATATTTCCTTAGTTTCTGCCATCAGTGTCTTTGAAAAATTCTCACAGTACTTGGAGTTTCTCAATTCTAAAATAGCAGTTTTGAAATTTGTTATATATTCTTTAACTTTAAACACACTAATTTCTCTGGATTGCATTTAGTTGTATATTATTTCAACATGAGGCATCTGATAAAAAAGCTCTAACCAAAACTTGAAATTATCATCATTTAGATATTTTAAAATTCCTGTTTCTTTTGCAATAGCTACAGTTGTTTCATTTGTCATTGTTCTTCATTTTATGTTGATTGAATTTCAGAAAGGCAATTTTTGAAAGGTTGCAAATTTTCATGAACTGTGTTTTTGGTCCGTATGATGAAGTTCCACCTTGTAGAATAATACCACACGTGCGGAGTAAAACAAATCAAGTTTCCAAAAACATGCCAGAATTTCAGCACTGCAAGAGCGACACTGCTCTTCTCTCTGCTCGGCTCGCGTGCTGCTTCTGTGTGCGCATGCGCAGAACAGCCAAACACTACGTTGTTGGAACTGTGAAGCGCATAGTTCCAAACAAAGTCTTTAGTACCTTTTTCACAAAGTGGTTGATGGCTACTGACATTAAGCTTAAGGATTGAGTATTGTAAAAGTATAAAGAAAGAATTAAAGACTAAAGGACACACTATATTAAATATTAAAAATAATAATAAGTGGAAATAGGGGGTGCTGCAGTTCCACAGTGCTTATTACTAGCCGCCACTGATTATATTACTTCAAGATATTAGTTTCATTTGAATTTTGAATCCAGCTAAAGCTCAAGGACTAGAATCATAAATATTTAAGTATGTTTATTATCAATGGAATTAGCAAGTGTGTTTATTGTTAGTTCTGATATGTTTATCTCAAAAAGGTGGTGTAATTTTTTTAATCTTATTTTGCGACATCATCGCTACAAGACTGGTACTCCGTGCAATTGATTTCCAATTGGATCTTCATTATTTTTCAAGAAGCGTGTTCAAGTTACTAAACAAACGCTCCACAGATGGCGCCGCAAGTTCTACAGGCCAACCGGGCAGCTTTATTCTCGTCATATCGATGACGCTAATTAGACTGACTCCCAAAAATGTCAACGCGTTAAGTTAAATTTTTAATAGAGTGGGAAAAAACTTAATCAGTAAAAACCACCATACCTTCAGTGGGCAATGATCTTTTCTGCGTGGCTGCCTGGTATAACGGGCTATGGCGTCCGGCTAGTATCGGGATGTTCGGTGTTCGAATCCCGATGAGAGCAGTGCACATTTTTTATGTTCGTTCTATTAAATACCTCGGATTCAGGCTTGATATGTGGTGGTCACGTGGTTATCACATCTTACGGAAGTCCGAGATAAGACGCATCGAATCATCAATGAACTAAACAGGATAATCACAGACAAGTGGAGCCAAAAAGGGCGTCTGTT